GAGATTACTTAATTTTAAATATGGGTATAAAAAAGGGCATTGGTATGAAAAAGGAAACACAAAATAGGTTAACTCAGGGTGGAGGGGAACTAGGCAATCAAAAATGGGAGAATCAAGTGAATACCAGGGAGGCCTATGGCTTGAATAATTGTAGTTCATTATTCTTGCTTCAGTTCAGGAGCAGGCAGCATCCCCAAATGCGGAGATCCACATCCTGAAGAAGAGAGGTCGGAAAAGAAAGGTGAGAGTAGCTGGAGGCTTAGGCTACATTTGAGGCTAAGGACAGAGGTAGTGATTCTAGTTGGAACAGCACTGGCTGTGGAGTTACCTGTCTGGACAATTAGGAGTAACTTGTAACCCAAGTTGCTTACCCTGTGAATGCAGAGATACCACACAGTGAATTTAGGATGAAATGTAGTAATATGAATGTATCTAGCAGTTTGGGTGCCATCACTTGTTGGAAGGCTGGAAGAACTTCCTAAAAACTTGATATGACATAGAAGAGGAGGGGGCAATTTATATCAAGTACCTTCTCATGTGGTCTCCTAGTGTTATAGGACAGGGAGAGGGGCAGCCCAAACCCCGCAAACCTGCCTATTCTACATGGGTTCTGCCATCCACCGCATCAACACAAAACATAGGAGACTTTAATGGGAAGGAACTTTAATAAAACTGGGAAACAATACAGGTAAGGCAAAGAGTCTAGTTTCTAAATGAAGCATCCAGAGTTACCCGTCCCCTCGTGGGTAAAAGTCCATCCAAATGGGATTGGCCCAGAACAAGGCCCCAAAGCCTGCTACAAGTCTAAAGCATCTTCCAGTGGGGACCCACAGAAAAGGGTCACAAACAACTGGACAAGCCCGGAAGGAAAAGAGCAAAATCAACATCAAGATAAAAGCTGCCATTGTCACCTCCCCACGGGTCTCACCCACATCTGTGTCACCTAGTCCACAACCAAAAGACAAGCGCAGTTTCTTCACGTGTCTCTAGGCTCCATGCGCCTCCTCCAGGTCTCCTTGCTCCATCCTGCTTCCTTCCTCAGTCTCTTCTGCAGCTTCTCCTCTTCCTGCTCAGCTCCACCCTCCCTTGGGTGGGGCAGGGAACCTCCCCCTTTCCTGGGGACCACCGTTACACTAGGGGTGAAGGAAAGCTTTTTTTAATATAAATTTGAAAGCAGATTTAAGTGCATACTAGTGCTTTACAATCATTAACTCATTTGTGCTAAACAGCAATAGCTCAAATAGAGATTACCACTCTTTCACAAACCCAAAAAAAGTGAATAGAGGGAAGGGTTTTCGGAGAGACAATACATGGTGGTGAGTGCACCACGGTAGCAATACTGATGGAGGTATCCAAATATTGCATCAATTAAAAGTAAATAAATTTTTTAAAAGATAAGTAAATGGTTTGATATTTAAAAAAAAAAAAAAAAAAGCGACGGGCCAGGGAGGGAGAGAGCTGCCTTTAGAGTCCCATCCTTGGTAGAAAAGTCCAAAGCAGTTTGCTGCCACAGGCTGAACTGCCAACTCTGCTGTTTCTGTCACACCTCCCCCTGCCTCATAGCTGGAGTCCCTGGATGCCTCAGAGCCAGAAGAGAAGACTGAGGATTGCTGGGAGCTGCAGACCAGTCCGGAACTACTGGCCCATGGGCGTAAAAAAATATTAGATCTGCTGAACGAAGGCTCAGCCCGGGATCTGTGCAACCTGCAGCGCATTGGCCAAAAGAAGGCCCAACTCATCGTGGGCTGGAGGGAGCTCCACGGCCCCTTCAGCCAGGTAATGATTCAGGGTTAAAGAACCCAAGAATGGGGTTGGGGACCCTGGCACCCATTAGGCCCCTTCCCCATCGGTGCTGTCCTGCTAGGTGGAGGATCTGGAACGCGTGGAAGGCATATCCATATCCGGGAAACGGATGGAGTCGTTCCTGAAGGTGAGCACACAGCTCTGCCCCCTCCTCTTCCCCGCCCCTGTCCTGCCCCAGCCCTTACACTGCTGACCCTTTTCCTGTGTTGCAGGCGAACATCCTGGGTCTAGCCGCTGCCCAGCGCTGGGGCCCCGCCTGACTGCCGCATCTCATCTTACTCCGCCTTAAATGTTTTTTTTTTCTTTTAAATCCTTGTATAACTGCGTGTTATAAATACAGATTTATATTCCGGTGCTTCAGCCTGATTCTTGGGGCGGTGGGGGCGGGGCTGGGGTTTAACTATCTGGGATGGGCCAAAAGCTCGGCCGGCTCACTCTTTTGGGCGCCATCTTTGGGGAAAGGCGAAAGAGCGCAAGATTGTAAATAAACCGCTGGAGTGGGGAGGAGGAGAGAACGGACGGTGGCTGAAAGGAAGCAAAAAGCTAACGCGAAAGCCCGCGGACAACGACCGTTAGGCGGGCGCGCGCTTAGTTTGGCCCCGCCCCGTCCGTACCCCCGACGCGCGCTCCCCTATTCTCCCGCTCAGCTACGACAGCGGTTTTGTGCGCGTGCGCGCGAAATAACGGCCGCTGGCGGAGGGAGGAGGGGGGTGGATTCTGAAGGGGGGGAGAGAGAAGCCGCCCTGTCTCCCGCGCGCCCACCACCTGCGCCATCGTCAGCCAATCAGAGGCCGTCTCAGGGGTCTCGCGCTTGGGGCGACTCCGGCTGCTGGGTGGCTCCCCCGTCCCTCCTCCCGCCAGAGTCCCTCTCATACCTCCCCCCTCCCGCTGGCCTCGCGCGCGCTCGCGCTCGCGCCCGCTCCAGCCTCCAGTGTGTCCTCGCGCCCCCCGCCCGCCCTCCCCGCGCGCAGTGTGCTCCGCTCCCCCCACCCTCCTCCTCCTCCCCCCTCCCGCCCGCCCCGCGCGCCTCCTCCCCGGGTTCCCCCTCCCCCACCGCCGCCTCCTCCTCCTCCCGCCCCAGGGTGAGCGCGAGCCACCTCCCTCCCTCCCTCCGCCATGGATCCCAGCAACTGGAGCAGCTTCATCTTCCAGGTAACAACCCCCTCCCCCCGCCCCCACCCCCCCTTCCCACACCCCCTCCCGCCCGCCCTCCCTCCCGTCCCACCCCCCCTCCGCGCGCCCGGTGCGCGCGCAGCTGTCCCCCTCCCTCCCTCGCGCCCTCCCCCGCCCTCCCCGAGGCGCCGGCTGGGCGCGCGCGCGGCGGGGGCCGAGGCTGCTCCCTCGCTCCCCCCACCCCGCCCCGCCAGGCTCCAACCGCCGCCGCCGCCGCCGCCGCCGCCACCGCCGCCGCCGCCCGGGCCCCCGCCCCCGGCCCCGTGGGGCCTCCCGCCCCACCCAGGGGGCGTCGCCGCCGCCGCCGCCGCCGCCGCGCTCCGCGGCTCGCAAGGCGCCCTCCTTCCCTCCCTCCCGCCGGCCGGGGTGCGCGGGCGGCGGGGCGGCCCGCGGGCCATGCGTGCGGCGCGGCCCTGCGCGGCCGGCCGGGGGCGGCGCCCCGAGCCCGGGCCCCGCGCGGCCCGCGCCCCCGGCCCCCGCTGAGCCCTGGGGGCCCCGCCGTGGCCGAGGCCATGTTCCCCGTGTTCCCTTGCACGCTGCTGGCCCCCCCCTTCCCCGTGCTGGGCCTGGACTCCCGGGGGGTGGGCGGCCTCATGAACTCCTTCCCGCCACCTCAGGGTCACGCCCAGAACCCCCTGCAGGTCGGGGCTGAGCTCCAGTCCCGCTTCTTTGCGTCCCAGGGCTGCGCCCAGAGTCCATTCCAGGTGAGTAGGGGCCGGCCGGGCTGGGCCGGGCAGGCGCCGACCCGCGGCCGCGGCCCACACGGCGCCTTGTCTCCGCAGGCCGCGCCGGCGCCCCCGCCCGCACCCCAGGCCCCGGCGGCCGAGCCCCTCCAGGTGGACTTGCTCCCGGTGCTCGCCGCCGCCCAGGAGTCGGCCGCGGCTGCGGCCGCCGCCGCCGCTGCCGCCGCCGCCGCCGCCGTTGCTGCCGCACCCCCGGCCCCGGCCGCCGCCTCCACAGTGGACACAGCGGCTCTGAAGCAGCCCCCGGCGCCCCCGCCGCCGCCCCCGCCGGTGTCGGCGCCCGCGGCCGAGGCCGCGCCCCCTGTCTCTGCCGCCAGCATCGCCGCGGCGGCCACCGCCGTCGTAGCCCCGACCTCGACGGTCGCGGTGGCCCCGGTCGCCTCTGCCTTGGAGAAGAAGACAAAGAGCAAGGGGCCCTACATCTGCGCCCTGTGCGCCAAGGAGTTCAAGAACGGCTACAACCTCCGGCGGCACGAGGCCATCCACACGGGCGCCAAGGCCGGCCGGGTCCCCTCGGGTGCTATGAAGATGCCCACCATGGTGCCCCTGAGCCTCCTGAGCGTGCCTCAGCTGAGCGGAGCCGGCGGGGGAGGGGGAGAAGCGGGCGCTGGTGGCGGGGCGGCCGCAGTGGCCGCCGGCGGCGTGGTGACCACCACGGCCTCCGGAAAGCGCATCCGGAAGAACCACGCCTGCGAGATGTGCGGCAAGGCCTTCCGCGACGTCTACCACCTGAACCGGCACAAGCTGTCGCACTCGGACGAGAAGCCCTACCAGTGCCCGGTGTGCCAGCAGCGCTTCAAGCGCAAGGACCGCATGAGCTACCACGTGCGCTCACATGACGGCGCTGTGCACAAGCCCTACAACTGCTCCCACTGTGGCAAGAGCTTCTCCCGGTGTGCACGGGGCTCGGCCGCCCGCTCGGCGGGTGGGGAGGGAGGGAGGGACGCTCAGGAGGTGGCCTGGCCTTGGCTGGTGGGGAGGGAGGTGGCTGCTGAGGATGGGGAACGGAGCCACTCCCAGGGAGGAGGGAGGAGAACCTCTCCTGGTTTCTAGGGAGCAGGGGGTGGTACTTAGCGGAGGAGGTGGGTCCTTGGGTTGGGAGGAGGACTCGGAGCCCGCTGGGCTTGAGGGGAGGGATTTCCTGCCTAACTGGGATTCTTAAGTCCCTGGCTTGGGCGAAAAGACTGGGAGGGCCCATGTAGCTAGTTAGACAGACTTGGGGGCACCCCCACACCCCAGGCCCCTAACCCCAACCCCAACGTATCCCCAGGCCGGATCACCTCAACAGTCACGTCAGACAAGTGCACTCAACAGAACGGCCCTTCAAATGTGAGGTAGGAAGCTCGCCGCCTCCTGTCCGGGTTTTCATGATTTTGATCCTCATTGTAGCTGTCTGAGTTCAGCCTCTCAGACCCCCTTTTTCTCTTTCTTCTTTTTGCTTTTTCACTCCATTTTCTCATCCCTTCTTCAAGGCCTCATCATCTCACTCCCATTTCCTACAGATCAAAGATCCCCAAGGCTCTGATTCCTTTAACCTCTTGCCCCCCTCTCCCCACTCCCCGAAGCTTTAACTCTCCTGACACCCCCCACGCCCCTCCCCCCTCCCCAGAAATGTGAGGCAGCTTTTGCTACGAAGGACCGACTGCGGGCGCACACAGTACGACACGAGGAGAAAGTGCCATGTCATGTGTGTGGCAAGATGCTGAGCTCAGCTTATATCTCGGACCACATGAAGGTGCACAGCCAGGGCCCTCACCATGTCTGTGAGCTCTGCAACAAAGGTACATGCCAAGGGATGCCGGGAGGTCCAGGGATAAAGGGTGGGGACAAAGCTAGTGGCCCTTCCAGATGTGGGTTAAAGGTGTAGCCAAGAATTGGTGGCATCTGGAGCTCTTTGGGAAGCAAATGGAGCAGCATAGGGACGACAGCACCATTAACTTCTAAGAAAGTGGTCATGACTGGAGAAGATCTGCTAGTCAACGTCGGGTGTGCTTGGGGAAAATGGGTGGGACACGAGGGCTTGGGGGAAGGAGTGGTCAAAAGAGCCAGTTCCCAAGGGTGGGAAGGCAAGGTTTCAGCTCTGCAGCCGCAGCTTCTCATCTTTGGTTCCTGGGGCAAGTGGAGTACATGGGCCGGGGGTATAACAGGCACATTCCTTAAACACTCATTTCTTCACCGAGTAACTGGGCTGAGACTGTGTGGGGCACTGGAGGGAGGGGACACAGCCGTCTCTGCTGAGGGTCACCCTAGGTATCAGTGTTCTGTCCCATGGGTGAGATTTCCCCCGCTGCCATGGAGGATGGGCTCTGAGGTACACCGAGGCCAAGAAGCCAACACCACTCACCTGGGCCCTAAGGTCAGGGAATGGGCTTTGCCCCACTAACCCCAATGGAGTAGTTGGCCCCAGGCTACCAAGGATCTGGCGGGAGGAGGACAGGGCCAAATGAGGAGGGCATCCCCAGCCTAGGAGAACAACCCCGTCTCTGGGGTCTCCACCTGGCTGACCCCCATCCCCCCCCAATCCACCCCCCCCCCCCATAGGCTTCACCACGGCAGCATACCTGCGCATCCACGCGGTGAAGGACCATGGGCTCCAGGCCCCGCGGGCTGACCGCATCCTGTGCAAGCTGTGCAGCGTGCACTGCAAGACCCCTGCCCAGCTGGCCGGCCACATGCAGACCCATCTGGGGGGGGCCGCCCCCCCTGTCCCAGGAGACGCCCCCCAGCCACAGCCCACCTGCTGAGGGGGACCCGCACCCACCAGGCAAGGCGTGGGGCATGGCTGGGGGGGGTTGGATGGGGTGTGGGGGACGAAGGGGCTCAAAGGGCCCACTAGGGGATCTCAGGCAGGCCAGGGATGTCCATTTATCACTGAAGTTAGGGAGACTTCTGGGGACAGGGAGGGCCCTACAGGAGAACTGGGTAAGGATGCAGGCTAAAGCCTCTGGGGACCAAATAGGAAGTGAGCAACGGCTGTGTCCCAGGGGAGGGATTCTGGAAAGAGTATGGAGCCAGGGGTAAGGCTCTTGCCATTTAGATCTTGCTGTGATCTGATATCTCACTGTGCAGGTACTGGTGAGGTGTGTCCCATGGCAGCGGCGGCGGCGGCAGCAGCGGCGGCGGCAGCGGCAGCAGCAGCAGTGGCAGCGCCTCCCACAGCTGTGGGCTCCCTCTCTGGGGCTGAGGGGGTGCCCGTGAGCTCTCAGCCACTTCCCTCCCAGCCCTGGTGAGCTCCAAGTTGGTGGAGGGCAGAGGGGAGAATGGAGGAACGCCCTTGGTTGCATCTCCTCTTCCCTTCTCTGTCCCACCAACTCCTCACTACTTGCCCCACCAACCAAGGAGCCTCCAGAAGGAAAGGAGGAAGAAATGTTTTCTTAGGGGAATTCGCTAGGTTTTAAAATTTTGTTTCTCCTGCTCCTCTCTTCTTCCCATCAGACCTGACCCCACATACACCTGTCCCGTTGGTTGTGTTATGCCCCCTGGACAGTGGGCAGGGGTGGCAGAGGACAGGAGCGGCCACTGCCCTCCCCCCCCCTCTCCTCTCTGTAATCCTCTGCCCTGCCCTTCTGGGGATTGTGAGCCTTTTCCCTTGATGGTCCTTCTTGCTCTCCTCCCAGTTCCCTCCTACTGTCTGCTGCCCCTCCCTGGGGAGTTGGTGCTTTTTTTTATTTTTATTTTTTTCAGGGGGAGGGAGGAGAGGAAGGAGGGGAAGGTGAAGATTCTGTCCCAGAGAGGGGAGAACACAAGACTTGAGAAGGGGCAGACGCAGGGAAAGCAAAGGTTGTACCTTCGTGAGATGAGGTGGTTTGGGGTCAGGCCCCAAACATCCTCCTACTTGAGACTGTCAGGGGAAAGGACAAGGGGAGCAAAAGAAGGAGCCATTAGGGCCAGAGGCAGGACAAGAGATGGAATCTTACGGGGCCAGGGTAAATGGGGGGGGATCCAGGGATAGAGGTGCTTCCTGGGAGTGGGGGGAATGCAGCCGCAGTGTCTCCCCCTTTCCCTCTTCCACCCCAGCTCCAGCCCTGGCCTTTTCTTTTCATCCCTCTTCCCCACGACAGAAGCCGTGGCCCTGGCCATGTCATCGTGTTCCTGTGTCCCCTGCATGTTCCCCAACCTTCACCCCCTCCTTTTGCGCGGACCCCATTACAATAAATTTTAAATAAAAACCTGTCTGGCTGCAGATTGAATGCTGTCACCAAAGCCCGGTTTCCACATCCAAGAGGTTTCTTCTTGGGCCTGGTGTCAGTACCAGCCTTGCCGTGTGGCTCTGGGCTGAGGCTCCTCCCTCCCCTGAGGTAGCCTCTGTGAGGCAGCTCCAGTGCGGGGTGGGGCCAAGGCACTGGACTGTGGAGAGCAAGTTCAGGGCTCCCAGGTCCCTGGGGGATGCCCAATCTGGACAGACCCAGAATAGCCGCTGGAGGTTTGAAGTGGCAACCCCTACCGATTCCTGCTGCTCAGACCCCAGCCAAATACCTGCACGCCCGCAAGACCCCGAGAGGTGGCGCAAGATGTGGCTGCGGGGAGGCTGGGAATTCTGAGGCCGGAGCTGGAAGCCGTGAGGCTGCGAAGAAAGACTGCACTTCTCCCTGCTTGCCTTCATTCTGGGCAGCGTCCAGCCTGCCTCTGCTGGGGCTCCTCTGGCCCAGCCCCTTCCCGCTGTTCCATGCTGCCCCCGCAACCTCTCCCGGCCTCTTGGAACTCCTCTCCCAGTCCCTGCTCTGGCTCTTACAGGGACTCGAGCCTTCCAATACCCATTCCTGCTGCTGCTTTCTTGGAGGGTTGGGGGGATTTGTGGCGGGACTTCCTGTTCTGCAGACTCCCTGCTCTTGAAACCCCACCCGACCCCACCTCTGCAGGCTCGCCAAGTCTTGTCCCATCTCCCTTCCGCTGTGTCTGCTCGCAGGGGTTCCTCCACCTCCAGCGTTCCCGCCTGTCTGCCCGCAGACCCCTCTCCGCTTCCCCCAAACCCTTGGTTCCGCCAGGACCCCCGGTGACCGTTGGCGGGAGGGGCCCAGGACTTGGGAAGGGGCGACCCGGGAGGCGCGCGTGGGAAAGGGTAGGGAGGGGGCGCGAGTGGCCCCCAGCCGGTTGCCCAGGTAACGGCGGGCCTGGCACGCGTGCCTCCCCAGGGCCGGCCGGGAGGGGCGGGAGGCGTGCGAGGGGCGGGGGCGGCGGCGCTCGGAGGCCTGTGCGCGTAGGGGAGGGGACCGGAGAGGAGGGAGAGGAGGGGACGAGCCGCGGGGAGGGGAGACCCGCCGCCTCCCTCCCTCGCTCCCAGACTCGCTCCCTCCCGGGCTGCGGCTGCTGCAACGGCGGCGGCGGTGGCAGCAGCGGCAGCAGCGGCGGGAGTATTCTGGAGACGGGCGTCGAGGTGAGACGCGGACGGACGGAGGCTGCGGGTAGGAAGGGACCGACAGACGGCGGTGGCCGGGAGGGCTGCATGGGAATGCGGGCGCCTGGCGGAATGACTGGCGGTGCTGGGCGCGCCGCCCCAATGGGAGGAGGAGGCGCCGGCCCCCCCGGGGCTGAGAGGGGCTGAGAAGGGGCACAGAGGAGCTACCCACATCCCCCAGGGAGGGGCGCGGGCGTCTGAGCCCCAAACGCAGCAAGAAAACCTGCACCGGCTGGGCACCCAGGGAGGAGGGGAGGATGAAGAGAGTGGGCTGTGAGTATCGGGGCCTCTGCCCTGGCTGCTAGAGTGTGCCAGCGTCTGCACAGCTTGTTGATTTTGGGGCGCTGGGGCGTCTGCCACGATCTGTCTGGATTTTGTTGGGTGGACTCAGGAGGAGACCGTGGGGAGGGTGCTGTTTCCCAAACGCTTGATCTTCCCAGTGCTCTCCAAGCAGAAGACTTTGAGCAGAGCAGTCCTCCCCAGAGATGTCCCACCCCAAGGCAAAGGCAATCCCAACTTTTCTTCCTCTCGCCAGAGGCAGCCCAAGGCTGGACAGGAACCTCGGCCCTCTTGGGCTGCAGTGCCGGGAGCCACCTCTTACCTCCTCACACCAAGCCTTTCTCCTCCTCTTTCAGGATTTGCTGCTGTCTCTACTGCTCCATCCTCCCCACAGAGGCCCTCTCCCCTCTCCCATCTCAAGATGGCAGCCAGCAGCTCTGAGGTCTCTGAGATGAAGGGGCTAGAGGAGGGTCCCCAGACCCAGGGAAAAGGGCCTGGCCATTCTGAAGCCGGAACTGGCCCTCCCCAGGTCCCAGCTGGGGCCCCAGATGAACCAGAGGCCCTGCAGCCAGGTCCAGACGCCACTGGGGCCCCTGTGGACTCAGAGCCCAAGGCTGAATCTACTCCAGAAACCACAGAGACCCCAACTGGGGCCCCAGAAATCACCCAGGCCAGAGACCTCAGCTCAAGCCCAGGAGGGAACTCAAAGGCCAACTCCAGCCCCAAAGAAGCATGCCAAGTGCCAGCCTCCAAACCAGAAGTGAGCAAAGAGGCCACTGCAGACCTGGAGTCTGCAGCCCCGCTTGAACCAGCCTCAGAGCCCACGCCCCAGCTGGACCCCCAGTCAGCCCCTCAGACAGACCCCCAGCCAAGTTCCCAGCCCACCCCTAAGCCAGCCCTTCAGCCAGAGCCGCCTACCCAGGAGGCCCCCACCCCTGAGGTCCTGACTGAGAATGTGGGGGAAAAACAGGAGAATGGGGCAGTGGTTCCCCTGCAGGCTGGTGATGGAGAAGAGGGCCCAGCCCCTCTGCCTCACTCGCCACCCTCAACCAAAACCCCCCCAGCCAACGGGGCTCCTCCCCGAGTGCTGCAGCAGCTGGTTGAGGAGGACCGACTAGGAAGGGTGCACAGTGGGCATCCAGGATCTCCCCGAGGTAGCCTGAGCCGCCACCCCAGCTCTCAGCTGGCAGGGTCTGGGGTGGAGGGGGGTGAAGGCACCCAGAAACCTCGGGACTACATCATCCTCGCTATCCTGTCCTGCTTCTGCCCCATGTGGCCTGTCAACATCGTGGCCTTCGCTTATGCCGTCATGGTGAGCCCCACGGGACCCTGGTCCAGCCCACTGGGGCTCCCAGCTTCCCGCTAGTGCTGGGACAGAGCCCCAAGATTACCCTCACCTTCCTCCCCTTTCTGCATGGATCTCACTTCCCAGTTACCAGGTCTTTGCTTGCCTCTCCCAAGGACTCCACCCCTTTGAGCTACCATTGCCTTACCCTTTCAGGGGGGAGGGATATGGAGACAAGTTTCACACCTCCTTGCTGACCTGTGCCCTCCTCCCCCTACCTCTCCAACCCCCCCCTTCCTTCCTCAACCACTGTCCTGTCCACTGGCCGGCCTATCTCCTCTGGACAACTTTTTCACCCGATCCCTGCTGAGCTGCCTTCTGGCCTGGGCCATGGTGCCCCCCACCCCTCACCCTAACCCCAGTCCCGGAACAGCCTGCAGCAGGGGGACGTGGATGGGGCCCAGCGTCTGGGCCGCGTGGCCAAGCTCTTAAGCATCGTGGCGCTGGTAGGGGGGGTCCTCATCATCATCGCCTCCTGCGTCATCAACTTAGGCGGTGAGTGGGGGTCTGGGACAGGCTGGGAGGCATGGAAGGGTTGGCAAGGGCAGCTTTACTAACCCCTGCCCCTGCTCTCTCCTGTCTGTCCTCCCTACTTCTCCTTTGTCTCTCCTTGTCTTCCCCCTCCCTCCCACTGTCTCTCCCTCCCTCTCCTCTCCCACAGTGTATAAGTGAGGGGCTCTGCCCTGCATTCCAAGATTTTTCTTCCTGTTGGGAGCTGCCTTGGGCCCATCCTCCCCTGGGGGGAGCCCAATCGATGGCCCAGGCCCGCACCCATAGGGACCAAGGGAGCCTGAGCGGCCTTGTTTACAGCTTCTTTCCTGCTCCTGCATCCTGCCAGGCTCCTCTGCCAACCGTAGGCCTCCCTTCTCCCTGCACTGCACTGTTTCCAACCCCCCTGCACTTCTGCCTGCATCCCCTCCAGTCTCCTGGCCTCCCCACCCCTGCACTTCTGGAAACCTCCGTGAACATCTCCCAAACTCTTTGCTCTCAGCCTCCCTGCATCTCTCCCAGCCTCCCTGCACTTCTTCCAGCCACTGGAATTCCCTGCACCTCAACCCTGGTCTCCCCCTCCCAACTTTCATTGTCTGGCATCTTCTCCCAATTCCTCTTTTCCTTCTCTCCTGTAACATCTCCCCTGCCCCCCTCCACACCCTCGCCCCCTTCCTCTCCCTTCCTCCTCATACCCCTCAGCATCCTTTCTTCCCCTCAGGATCCTCTCCTCCACCCTCCTGCCACCGTTTATTCTGCAAACACTCCAGCTCTTAGCTCAGGCTGGGGGAGGGAAGCGGTGGAGGGGAGGGCTAGCCCGGGCCTCCGACTGTTCTCTGCTGGGACCACCCTAGCCAGGGTCGCAGAGCTGGCGAGCCTGGTCTCACGTGGGGACTGGTGCTAGGGTGACTAGCACCCGGTTCCCTAAAGGGCACCTGGGAGCAGGGAGGGCGCGGCAGTTGACCCTTCCAGGTCAGCCTGAGTTTACCTGACCCACCTGGGCTTTTGAACCTAGTGGGTCAGTTTCTTAAAAGGCGTCGGGGCTGGGGTCGTTCACGTGCTTTGTAAGCAAAGAACCCAAAAAATAGGACCAAGACACCCCGCTGCAGGGAGCGAGGGATGGGCGGGGAGCGCTATAATTATTTTCTTTGAAGATGACGAGGGAGGTTTGGTGCACGCGACCGCCCACTGGGGGGCGGGGACTGAGTTAGGACGCTGTTCCGGAGTTGGCGGATTTTTTGTTTTCTAAAAAAAAAAAAAAAAAGGTGTGTGTGTATGGGAAAACTAAAATTCTTTTTAAAAAGATACATCAGAACTGATTCTCCCATTTTGTATGCGGATGCTGCATGAGTCTGAAACACCAATAAACGCAGACTGCATGAGACTCGCCTCCGGCCTCAGTTGGTCCTTGCCTGGGCGCGCCGCGGGGCCGCGGGGCCGCCTGCCTTCCGGCAGCCCCTACTGGGTGGGCTGCGCATGCGCCAGCCTGGTGGCCATCTTTACTGTGGGTCGAAGTCGATTATGCCCCCCGCGCCTACCTGCGCATGTGCAAGCCTCCCCTTGCTTTCCTCTTCCAAGTAGCTTTGACTAGAGCGGAGCCTCCCGCGCCTTCTCTATGCGCCTGCGTGCTGTGACCCTGCGCAGCCCGGGAGGCGGGTCTTAGCTCCAGGTGCGTACGGCGGCGGAGGTGGCGGAACTGAGACGTGCGGGGAGAGGGCGCCGGGTCCCGGTGTGGAGAGGGGCGGTGTGAAGGGGAGCAGAGCGGGCCCGCCCCTCTCCGACCCGGACAGTGGTCTCTGCAGGTCTCTAGGAGGGGCCATCGGAGGACCGAGTCGCGACCCGCGGGGCCGGGTCCTTGGAGGGGACTGAGCGCCCCCTCCTGGGAACCGGCGGTCTGGGCTCTGGGGCCGCTGTTGGAGCCTGATTGGTTGGAGAGACATTCCCCAAACCCCTGGGGAGCCCAGGCCCTCGGGGAGGGTGGGGTGGAGGCCCGCGGCTTAGGAGACTCCCGCCTCACCTGTCATCGCAGGGCCCCTTCCCTAGTGGCCTATGTCCCTTGTCCGGGGTCATGGAGACATTGCGGCCACCACAGCGGTGCCCCTGTCTGAAGAAGGGGAAGTGACCTCCGGCCTCCAAGCCTTGGCCGTGGAGGATACCGGAGGCCCCTCCGCTGCGGCCAATAAAGCCGAGGAAGAGGGAGAAGGAGACCGGGAGGAGGCCGAGCCTGAGGGGTCCGGGGCCGAGGAGGTGCAGGTAGAAGCCCCCCGCGCTGAGGGGGAAGAGCTTGCCAAGGGAGAATCCGAGGACTGGTGCGTGCCCTGCAGCGACGAGGAGGTGGAACTGCCGGCAGACGGGCAGTCCTGGATGCCCCCTCCCTCCGAAATCCAGCGGCTCTATGAACTACTGGCTGCCCACGGTACCTTGGAACTTCAAGCTGAGATCCTGCCCCGCCGGCCACCCACGCCTGAGGCCCAGAGCGAAGAGGAGAGATCAGATGAGGAGCCGGAGGCCAAAGAAGAAGAAGAGGAAAAGTGAGGGAACACCCTTCCACCCCTCCCTGGGGCTGCTTCCCTGATGCCAGGGGAAAGTAGGGAGAGGAGGTGGAAGCAGGGAAAGTGGAGGGAGGGAGGGGAGCAGGAGTAGGAGCAGAAAAGCCAGGCTGGGAGAAGCACCTGTACGGGTGTTGGGGGGTTACCCTCACCTTTCCATCTCTGTCCACCTGTCCCAGGCCGCACATGCCCACAGAATTTGACTTTGATGATGAGCCAATGACACCAAAGGACTCCCTGATTGACCGGCGACGCACCCCAGGTACCTGTAAGAGGGAGGAATGGCAGGGGGGAGTGAAGGGTCACTGCTGCCACTTACTCAAAAAGTCACTTAAAGAGGCCTGTATTTGGTGCCTTGGTTGCTTCGCAGCTTGTTGCTGAGGGACAGCATTCACCGTGAACAGTGGCGCCATCCTCCGGGGCAGATTGATGGGCATCTTCTCAAAGACTGTGACACACAGTTCTGTCCCACTGCCCATGTGTATCTCCGTCTCCCCAAATGTCCAAATCTTTGTAGTCATTCATCATTCTCGAGCTCCACGGTGCTAGATGGTGTACATGTAATTAGACCCGAGTTCCCACCCCATATGCCTTTCTAGAATTCACCCTTGAGGCCATTCTTGATTTCTCTTTCCCTTACCACCACAACGTTCAGGCCAGGAGCATGTCATCTTAGCTCTGCGTCCACGTTTCCACGTTCATCTGTTGCTGTCCACCTTCAGCACCACAGCAGCATCCAAGTTACCATCTTGTAGTATCTCCTGGCTGTTTCCCTGCCTCCAGTCTCAGCTGATAGAGTGATCCGTTTAAAATTTAAATGTTGTCCCTTCTCTGTTTAAAATCCCCAAAGGATTGCATTGCTGGCAATGGGGGAGGGGGGCGGGAGAGAGCATGTAGAGAGATTATCCAAGCCTCTCCCTCAAAAATGTTTCCAAAGAATTTCCATCTAAAATAAGAGATCCAAATTCCTTATCGTCACCTGTAAGTCATTTCCTTGGCCTCTTCTGTCTCTTCTTCCCCAGCTCTCTACTCTCTTGGAACAGTCCTTCTGAGTCTTGCCCCTGGGCCTTTGCACTTGTACTTCCCCTGCCTACTTTACTTTTCACATTCTTGTCTCGTAATTCAGACCTTCACTGCCCAGCCCATCTGAAGGCTAAACCTCAGAACCTCCATCACAGAGGCCTGAGAATCTGCATGTTTAACAAACTCCCCAGCTGCTTGGTACTCTTCAAACAGGTCTGGTGCACACTGCCTTAACTCCCTTCCACATTTCTCAACTCCTCTTTCTCCAGGAAACTCAGCCCGGAGCCAGAAACGGGAGGCCCGCTTGGACAAGGTCCTCTCAGACATGAAGCGACACAAGAAGCTGGAGGAACAAATCCTTCGGACTGGCAGGGACCTTTTCAGCCTAGATTCAGAGGACCCTAGCCCTACCAGCCCCCCACTCCGGTCCTCAGGGAGTAGTAGTCTCTTCCCCCGGCAGCGAAATTACTGACTGCTGCTGCCTTTAGGGTGCAGAGTGTGTACCTGCTGCTGCTTTTAGGGTGCAGAGTGTGTACCTCCTGCCCTAACCCAAGGCTCTGGAAAACTTGGGAAGAGAAGAGAAAGTCCCAGCTCCCGCCACTGCTTCTTTCAAGAAAGGGGACAGTATGTGTGTTCATGTTTTCTGTTGAACGTCTGTTTGGTGACCTGGGCTGACTTTTCTGAATTTAAAATAAATAATACAAAAGTAATATTCTCTCAGAGGAGGGACTGCAGCTAGAGCAAAAACAGTTGTGAAGAGGCAGAATTGTGTTCATCCAGATTGGGAAATTAAAGCCAGATGGGCAGAGGTAAACTCCCACAGCACCCCCACCTCTGTCTGGGGCCTGACCTTCCCAGCCTAGTGCCGGCGATGCCAGCTGGCTGTGAGATGGGACTTCCTCTGAGCAAGGCATGGCATGAGGGGCAGGGCCTGCAGCTGCAGTTGACTTGCCTAGAGCAGGAAATGAACATCAGCTGCAGGGGCCCTTTAAATGCCCAAGCCCCACCCCTGAGCCTGCCCTGCTGCTGGGAAGTGATCCCTAGGGCTGCGTGAGGGAGTAGCTGACCCGAGTTCTGTTGCTACCTGAGTTTTCTGTTGCTGCCAGATCCTGAAGCGCCTTTGGATGTAAGTACTCTGTACCGGGAGACTAGTTTTCCAACCCGGAGACTAGTGGTGGGACCGCGTGCCCCTCCTGGCTCTAGCCCTGTCCTGCCTTCTAGGGCCTTGCCTCTGCTGGGACCGGTAAGACCGCTCTGAACCAGAATGCGGAGATAGGTAGAGACTCTGCCTTGGGAGGTTTTGCTTTCATTTTTGGAGTTTTGGTTTTTTTTTTTTTTTTTTTTTAACCCGGGTTTCAAAACAAAGGCAAATCAATTTATCATCCTGTTAATACCTCCCTGCAAATCTCAGGCCTCTCCAACTTCAAGCTCTTACATCAGAATTAAGAGCAGAGGAATCTTAAGGGATCTTCTGCATTCAATTCCCCTCGCCCCTTGTCCCCCCCCACCCGCCCACACCCCAGCCTGCGTGTGATTTGTCCCACAGAGCTCCTAAAATGTGATTTGCCTTCTAGACCCCTCCACTCGCCAAAAGTTGAGGTTTTCCTACTGTCCCACTCAGGACTGGGCTTTAGACATCTAGAGGGTAGTCTTGGTTTCCAGAAGATTAGTTTGGTGAGCAAAAACTGTTTTTCTCTGAAAGGGAAGTGAGATTCCAGGAAGATTATTTTAACTGACCAGCCTGTGATGCTGGTGCTCAAGGGTGAAGCAATTGGGGGTGGTGGGGAGGGAGAGACAGCAGTATTTGAGGCACATATTCCCTGTGTGCTCAGCTGCCCCACTGGGTGACCCCTGGGCTATGGGGGAAACTGGCTCTCATGAGGGGTGATGGTTGTTTCCCTGAAATTCCTGTTTCCACCCTTGGCACACAGGGAGCCCAGGGTAGAGCTTTCTGGGCAAGGCATGTGAATAGGTCTCACAGCTTCCTGTGAGAGCTCAAGGTTCTTCTGAATATTCAGACCTCCTTGTTGGGTGCCACCTTCCCAGGTGACAGAAAATGCTCACCTTTGAACCAGCCATTGACACTCTCTCCTAGGGAATACCCAGCCCCACCCAAGTAATTTCTTGTTTAGACTCTTCACATCTGCCTCCTGCTTTAGGGGCTCCACACTCACAAGCCCTGGGGTGGAATTCTGGCTGTCTTTTGACCTTGATACCTTCTTGAGCAAGTTCCTTTTAGCTTGTGAGGATTTAAATACGTTAACGGCACCAGCCACCTTGCCTTACGCATGTGAAGTTGACTGGTTCTTGCAGGAACCTCATGAAACTTACGGAGGTGTGACCCAGGAAAGACCTAAGAGGGCAGATCTAGGAGCAGGCACTGAAGGGAGGTCTGGGTGGATTGGAGGTATTGGGGAGAAACCCAAGACTGGGCAAGCCCTTTCAAAGGTCAACACAATCCTTAACCATTGTCTGATGGAGGCCCTGATAAGATTGGAAGCCAAGTGGTGTGATTGTACACATCATCTAGGAAACCACCTACGTAAATCCAAGGCTTGTTACAAATCAACTGCCTGAGTCAAATGATTTCCTGGAGCCACTGAGAGACCCTGGATGAGTCACTTTTGTGGCTTATGAGACATTGAAAGCCTGTTTTTGGGTGAACTTGGCAGGTGGTCGAGGTGGAAGGCAGTTTGAAGCATGGTAGGAGGGCAGGTGGGGAGGTAATATGAGCCTGGTACTGAAGTGAGGGTAATTGTCCTGGGCCTGGCCTTGGAACCACGCCAGCCCCTTCAGCTCAAAGGATGACTCAGCTGAGTCACTGAGCTGGGCGAGGCTCTTGGCCCCCCTGACTGGACCCAGCTGGGGTGACAGATGGTAGAGAGGCCTTGGCTGTAGGGGGTAGGGAATTGTCCAACAAGAAGCCATTGGAGATTGCTCCCAGGGCTGGCTTCCAGTCTTACATGGCCTTCTAGAATTCAGATCTTCCTGTGGGACCCCACAGAGCCCTGTGCATACCTCCTCCTGTACTCTTAGCCCTTCCTCTATCCCCATCTGGCTTCCTGGCCAGGCTTCCACCCCACAGAGAATCTGGCAATGGAGCATCTGGAGAAAGGCCTCACTTGGCTGTCAGGTGCCCCTTCTTTGCCGTTCTAACCCCACAGCTGGGGTGATACAAGACTTGTCACTTTCCTGATCAGTAAACAAGTGAGGGCCAAGGTGAAGATGCCAGGTACAACAGGGAGCCTCAGGGTGCTGGGTCACACCCCTGACTAGATAGGGAAGCTGGGCCTCCAGCTACTCCCTGCCTGGGCCGTCACAGGCAGAGCTGCTGGAGGAGGCTGTTCCCAGTGCTTGATGGTTAGCTCAGCCCTCTGATAGATGCTCTAGAGGGATGAGCCTGATCCAGTCCCAGTTTATAGGCCAGGAAACAGGCATAGGGAGGGCAAGGGGTTTGTCTGAGATCACCCACTCTGCAAGGGGTAGAACTAGATGCAGAGTCCCAGTCCCAAGAGGTCCTTGAAGGGACCCACATCAGGGAGCGACTTGGGAGACATGAGTGAGCAGGATGGGGCAGTTAGCGAGGAAGGAGAGGGGTCAGATGAGAAAGGGCAGGAACAGCCAGGAAAGCAGAAAGCCAGTTCTTGTGTTTTTGAACACTATGGAAACACAGCGGAAGAGGGCACTCTGGTGTTAGAAAAAACCAAAGAAACTAACACACACACACACACACACACAGCAGAAAAGTATCAAGGTCAAATCCCATACAAAGTTACAAGATAAAAGAATGAGGAGCAGAATAACATTCCTCTGATGTGCAAAAGTGTACCAGGAAACAGGTCAAAACTGTAACGTCTTTTACAGTGAGGAAAGGCAATGAAGGAAACACTAAGAGGTAGGAGAATGGCAAGTGGGAATTGTAAGCCCAGGCCATCTGGCTGCATCCATGCCCTGCCTCTCCCCGCCCCCCGGCTCCCCAGTGTACTGTGCTGTAGTCAGAGAAGCTCAGGGTGGGATTCTATCCTGATAGTACCAGTGACTTGCTGTGTGGCCTCCAGTGACTCCTCCCTATTGGGGTCTCAGCTACTTAGCGCTACTGTCTCAGAGATGTTCACCAGCCAATCTGGCCAACGGAAATTGAGTTCCACAGTCACGTTAGCCACTTTCCAAGTGTTTGATTGCTGCGTGTGGCTATTCCAAAGACAACGCAGATTTAGACTATTTCCATCATTGTAGAAAAGTCCTGTTGGACAATGCTGAGTTAAAGGGCTTTAAACGTGAGCCGGGCAGGTGGTGTGAATGCAGGGGCCCTTGGGTAAGACAATAGGGAGTGGTGGAGACTAGTAAGCAGGAAAACTTGTGTCCCACCCTAATGGCCCTGCAGCTGCTTGACTTTTGCCAGTTTTGCCATATGGGAATGTACGACCCAGCCTTCTAATTCTTCAGAAGAAACAACAATTTGGAGTTTGTGGAAACTCAACTTGTAAACAAATAATTGAAATCTTACAGATTATGTGAAGCAAGTAAAACTTTTATTTTTGCATATAAGAACTGGGGTGTAGGGCAGAGGTGCAGGGGGGTGAGAGAATTCACCAGAAACAGAGTGGGGAGCAGCGGGCGAGACAGGAGAGGTCTGCTGCACCATATATGGGTTAGCTCCCTGGCTGGGGATAGAACTCAGGCCGTAGTGGTGTTAGGGGGAAAGGATGTCCTGAGCTGATCCCATACAGGCTTTGTGGACCCCACCCCCACTCCAGACTAAAGCCATCAGGACATTGGGAAAGACAAATCCCGTCACCACCAAAGGGAGGGTGGCTGGGACCTGAGGGTGGAGTTGGGCAGCCAGGTTGGATATAAAAACCAAACACGTGGGCCTTGGGGGGCTCGCGATGGCTCGCCTCCTGGCTACACAGCTCCTGGCTGGCGGCCAGCTCTCAGAGCGCCATTTTGGGATTCCTGATCGGCGGATCGGGTAGGACTCATTTAAAACTTTGTCTCCCACTTTTCTCCCTGAGCTGTACATTTCCTCATTTCCCCTTCCCTTGTAAATAAACCTTCTATGAACCTTTCGCGTGTGCCTGCAGTAGAGCATTGATAAGTCCTTTTAAGCGCGCGGGTGAGGTCCCACAGTCAGGCACCCTATTTTGTATCGGGGTTGCTCTACAACAGTGGCAGTAGGGTTGAGACTTAACCCCTAGGCTACCAGGGAGGCCGTCAAGTAAAACTGTTGAGCCTCTTGTAGCTCTGACTAGTTTTGTGGCCCTTATTTTCCCTGTGCCATGCCACTCCTTCCTCACCTCCATTCTTCACCTGGTTGGAGTGGGGTAGATGAGGCACCACTCCTTCCTGGTGATGGTTTCAAAAATAATGTGCCTGAAGTCACTGGGAGGCTTTAAGCCTAATACTATTGTTCCCTTTGCACGACACAAAGGGATATGTCCAAAGTCCACTGCATGCTGGAGGAGGGCTGGGGTTTAGGTGGGAGGTGTGACGTTCCTGAACAGAGCAAGCACTGGATGGCCCGATGGAATCACCCAGATTCAGAAGCAGCTAGTGTGGGGGTGATTGGAATGTAGTACCCACTCCTACTCACCACCACCTTGCCCTTGCCAACAGAACGGAGGGTGGCTATAGACCAGAGAGAGACGGAGAGGAAAGGCCTAGAGTAATGGTGTTTCTAACCTAGCTGGTTCAGTGAAGGGATCATTCAGTCAGGAATCCCTTCCTTGAGAGGCGTTGAGGTCTGAACAGTTCACCCCAGGATTGCTTCCAGCAGAGCGGAGGTGGGAGGGCTGCAGACAAAGATCATGCAAATGTTCTTGACCTTCTGGCTAGCATTTGAATACAGCTGGGCCCTTAGAATCCCCTGAAGTAAAGGAGCCTGCCCTTGGAGGAGTCAGCTTCCTCCTGAGAATGATTCCTCTCCCTGCGTTGAAGGCCCCAGCACCCCCCCCCCTCCCAGCTGCATGTACTTCTGCCGCCTCCATGTGGGTTTGGAGACTGGGAAAGCTTTGATCTAAAGTCCCTCCTGCTTCAGCCAGGGGAGGGGAGGCAAAGTTGGTGGGAATGAGGCAAAAGACCCAGGCTTCCATGGGCAGTTCCTGGCAGGGGTGAGATCTGGTTGGGCTACTTAGCCTTGGATGGGAAGAAAGGAAGAGGGTGTGCGGGCAGTGAAGGGGGGCATCCCCTGAGCTGAGGGGCACTGAGCCCCCATCCCAGCTGCCTGCTTCATCGCGGGCCCCCTGTGCTCATGTGGCTTTACCTTCTCTGTCACTCTCGGTGCTGCCCTGGGCGCAGGAGTCCCCATGGAAACTGAAGCGTCCATCATCCGCATCCCCCCGTACCACTACATCCATGTGCTGGACCAGAACAGCAATGTGTCCCACGTGGAGGTTGGGCCCAAGACGTTCATTCGGCAGGACAATGAGAGGTGGGTGTGGGGACTGGGAGGGCTGGCAGTCTGGCTGGCATCATCTGTCCGTCTCCTCTCTGCTCCCAAGCAGCACTGGCTCTCGCTCTGGTGAGCTTTCTCTCCCATCCCGCATCCTGCGGGCGCGGGAGGGCCTGGGGGAGGCTCCGCGTCCTCACGTGGCTTCTCTCCACCAGGATCCTGTTTGCCCCCATGCGCATGGTGACTGTGCCCCCACGCCACTATTGCATTGTGGCCAACCCCGTGTCCCGGGATGACCAGGGCTCAGTGCTGTTCGATACCACGGGGCAAGTGCGGCTCCGCCACGCAGACCTGGAGATCCGGCTGGCCCAGGACCCCTTTCCCTTGTACCCGGGGGAGATTCTAGAAAAGGTACCTGGCTACCCCCCTACTCCCCACTCTCCCTGTCCTGCCGCCCTGTTCTAGGGCCCCCCATTGCCTTGTGGAGGAGAGTGTGGGGGTGACATTTCTACTCACAGGGCAACATTCCTCCTTCTAGGCACACACTTCTATTTGATGCACTTCTGTTTGACGTCATCCTTTCCCTCCTTGCCGAGGGCTGGCCACACCTGTCTCAGGCCTTCCTTGCATCACCCTCCTGTCCTCCTGGTGACATCTCGCCAGGGGTAAAATTTCCTCTTCTCCCCGCCGCTTCCACATGCTCACAAGTCTTGTCCCTCCTTCCAGAGATGTCGACCAACTTGCCAGCTTATCCACCAGGCTTCAGAGTGGCACTAATGACTGTGCCAAGAGTAAGCATTTCATTCACTAGAACCGAGCCAGACGCTGGTGGGCAGTGACAGCCACGGTGGACACGATGGGGACACGATGGCTGCGGTTGTGGCCCGGGCAGCCGGGGGAGGCCGGCGCCTTCAGCCAGACCCCGGCCAAGGGGGGCGGCGTGGCGGGGGAGCGTGCCACCTCCGTTCCCCACACTGTTCTACCCGCACCTCCTTGTCGTTTCTTTCCACTTCACTCTGGGCTCCTTTACTGACAGCGCTGCTGACCCTGGAAGCAGTTGCTTATGTTTTCAGACATTCTGTCCACTTGAGTGTGAGCACTTTGGGGAGGAAGCATGTGTAGAGACAGGAAGTGATGAAGAATGATTAAAATGTCAGCCTCTTATGGAATCCAAGTAGAGCATGTCGGGGAATTTTGCGCTAGTCTCGCGAGCTTTAATTCTGAAACTGTCCAAAGTTAAAAGTCACTCACATTTGGCTCCTACCTCAGACCCTTGCCTCTGGGTGGGGAGCACTCGGGCCTAGCTGGGCACCAATATTTAAAAGCTCCCTGGAGTGGAGACTGCTCCTCATTCCTGCCTTGCTCTCACCTCTGCTCCTCCACTCCTCACCCCCGGCCCCCACCAACTCATTCTTTCAAACCCCACATGCTCCAGGGCAGGAGGGCAGGGCCTCTCTTACTAGGAGGGCAACATTCCTCCTTCTGGCACACACTTCTATTTGATGCACTTCTGTTTGACGTCATCCTTTCCCTCCTTGCTGAGGGCTGGCCATACCTGTCTCAGGCCTCCCTTGCATCACCCTCCTGTCCTAGGAGCCTCAGAATGTTCTAGCAAAGACCCGCCAACAATTTGGCCTTTGTGACCTCCACTCTGACTGCACCTCTTCTGTTCTGCTTCTGCCCCTGCCAGTACCATGCCCACTTCCCACTAGGTTGGCTTCCCACCTGCCCCTTCCTCTGTGAGTCTTCCTCCCGGGTCATGTCCCCTCAGGCCTTTTGATCCCCTCAGGCCTTTTGATCCCGTCTTCTCTCCTGTCTTGAAGTCTCATCTGATCTTTCCTGCCCCGGCTTAACCTTGTTTAACACCTCCTTACCCTCATGCGCTGGATCTGCCAGGAAACCTGATCCTGAATCGGGGGTGCCACTCTGTGCCCACCCACAGGAGGGTTTCCTGCTGGAACATCAGCGTGTGGATGGACCCACCCCCACCTCAGTATTATTAGGAACTAATGGGTTAAGTGTTCCCATCCTTCCTAGCCAGCTTTCTCTCCGCTTTCCCTGTGTGCCTCCCAACACTTCTCACTCCCCAGTCCCTTCCTACCACTTGCCTCTTACTCTGGAGCAACTTGGTCCCCTCCTTAGAGGTTGAGACCATCTGGCAAGATCTGGGTCTGTGTCCCCTTCCCTTTATACCTGCTTTCCACTTGGGGCACCTTGAGGAGGCACCCCTCCAGGCAGTGGACCCGGGGACCTGATTCCTCCTTCTGTGTCTTGAGATCTGTCCCCCGCCCCCCACCTCCAGCTTCTGTCACTCCCCGCTGCTGATGCCCTGCTCTTGGCCAGCAAGCCTGTCCCCCCCTTCTCTTGTGTTCTGGCTTTAGAGGTGTTCTCCTACAAGCCTTTCTAAGGGACGCATCTGTGAGGCTATAAAGTCCTCTGACTTCCACCACCAATATCTACTCTCTGCTCCCCAGGATTATCTGTCACCCATTTGGGGTGTACACTTCTAGATATGTCTGTGCGGTAACATAGCTATGTAGTGGAATAGTAGCGGCCTCTAAGCTGTTTGCCTGAGGACGATGGCGTCGTTTGCTGGTGTATTTCAAAAACTTGCGTATTGGTACATGTCTTATGTTTAATTGTTGTATAACTTCCCATGATGTGGAGAAGTTGAGCCATTCCCCTACTGAGTATCATGGATGTTTCCAGTCTATAGGGGAAAACAGTGTTGCGCAAACCTCCTCCTGTGCCCTTGGCAGCGCACTAGCATGACGAGTAGAAGCTACAAGCTCCGTAGGAAGCGCCGGCCCCAGGGCTTGCACAGTTGTGAGCGGTTATGAATGGGGCTATGAAGCCACCGCCTCGCTTTCTACTGCTTTCTTCCCTTTCCTGCTTGGACATCTTGTCCTTGGTGTTCTCTGCCCTGTTTCCTGAAAGCCTCTGTTTCCGGTCCTCACTCTCACCTCCCCTGAACTGGCTTTGGCAAGGCCCCAGAACAGCTCAACCGCAGCCCCTCTGTGTGTCTCAGGCCCTCTCAGCCCCACCCATTGTGGATCTTCATCTTTGAAGCCTCCCACTCCTGCCCTGTCCTCTGCAGGTTCTGTCCTGACTGCCTGTATGCCCACTCATGCCCTTGTGACCTTGACTTCTGTGTGTTGAGGGTGCCCAACCTTGTACCTTAGCCGCAGACTCGAGTCCTCACTGACTGAAGAAGCCCTTTCCTGGATGTCCACTTCACCCTGGGCTTCCAAACCATCCGTTCTCCTGTGTGCCTGCTCTTCCTTGGCGATCCTACTGGTACCCAGGCCAGAAGCCTGCAATGGTGTGGGGGCCTGCCGCAGACCAGCACAGCAGTGAACGATGAGGCCGTCTCAGGGTTGAGAGATTGCACAGGGTGGTCAGGGATTCGGTTAAAGAAATGACAAACAGGGCCTCCCCGGTGGCGCAGCGGTTGAGCGCTGGGTTGCGAAGCTGCCTGCGGCCTCGGCGGCGCAGGTTCGATCCCCGGCTGCTCCCCGGCCACCGGAGGAGGGTCCCACATGGCGCGCAGACCTCTCCTGCCGCCCGCTGCTCCCCTCAGCAGTGTACCTTGGTCCTTCTGCCTGCTCTGCTCCCCGCTCTGGCTCTGGTGAATTCTCTCACCCTCCCGCGCTTCTGACTGTACCCAGTGCTTGTATAAACAAAACAAACAAACAAATAAATAAATAAAAACATGCCTCTCTAAAAAAAAAAAAAAAAAAAGAAATGACAAACAGACACACTTCAAGAGAGAGTGTAAATCTGAGTGTAATTTTCTTTGAGTTGGTGACCAGTATATATATGTTTTTCTAAAGGCATAGGAATGGCGAACATCAGTGAAGAAATCAGCTTGCTTATAGGTTTAGCTTATCATTGACAGGGCAGTGATTTACATCTGGACCCAGGCGCATTCCTAAGTAGTTAGGCTATTAATTTTTCTTTTTGTTTTATGTGATTACTTTTTTGTTTTAACTACTCACTAAATTACTATTAATTAGCACGGGTGAGTTTTACTTTTCACAGTGTAATATTTTTATCATTAAGATTAATACTAACAAGGCTAAGCATACAACAGAGAAATTATTAAGCTAACAGTTCTATTAATACACAGAGTTTAGTAACGTTTCATTTGAATTAGCCTAGTTATTAGATTTCGTATGTTCTTTTTTAATCAGCAAACCAATGACCTTTTTAGACAGAGAAAGAGAAAAGATTTTTAGAAAGAGAAAAGATTTTAGAGAGACAGTTGTATTAGAATAAAGTCTGTGGGCCTTGAGAAGGCGAGATAAGGTTCCATGCGGTCAGCATTCCTGTAGTGGCTCCTGGGGGTCGTTATCTTTCAACAGGCTTCCGTCTTATCTATGTCTTCAGGGAGTTTGCTGTTCTCCCCCTGCGCGCTGGTTCCTTGCCCAGCCGGACCTAGGGACGGTGGCGAAAGCCATTAGCCCTAAAGGTCACTGCAGGGGGAGGTGCAGCAGGGGCCAAACCGGAAGGAGACAAAGGTGGTGGCCTGGACACCAGGTGAAGATGGTTCCTTCATCTAGGTGACACATGTTGGTGACTTAAGTGAGGGTGATGGCAGGGAGAGAGGAAGAGAGACTTGGTTCTGCGATGGGACATCTAGGGAGTGACGATAGAGGAGATAGGGGAAGGCAAAATCATACTGAGCTCTTTCTAGAACACTTACCTTCTCCTCTCAGTTGGTGTCAAAAGCCAGCCCTTCCTTTAAGTCCTAGTTCAAATGCCACTTTCCGGAACTTTCCCTAATTTCTCCTTCATCTCAGCTTCTGAGCTCTCACTTCCTCGATACTGTTCACAGTCTGCTTGGAGAGAATGGACTTCCCCCTTGGTGGGACTTAAACTCCACAGACTGGGCTCTGTCTCGCCTCCACCACAGCCAACTGAGCACCCTACGGTGAAAGCTGTCGGCTCCAGCTCTGCCTCCCTTGCACCGTGGTGGGGTCAGTGGGTAGAGTTCCTCGACCTTCTGCCCCGGGCCACTCTGGTCAGTGAGGAGAGGCAGGGTAGGTGTCACTGAGGACTGAAGTTCCAGTCCCAATTCTGTTCCTTGCTGATGTGACCACAGTCGTGTCCCTTTTTTGCCTTTTTTTTTTTTTTAAGTGAGAGTAACTTTTTTTTTTAATATTTTTATTTTATTTTTAAAAGAACTGGGGTACAGGTCAGAGGCGTGGGAGGGCGAGAGAATTCACCAGAGAGACCAGGGAGCAGAACAGGCAGACGGACCAAAGACACTGCTGAGGGGAGCAGCGGGCGAGCCAGGAGACATCTGCCGCACCATGCAGGTTTCTCCCTGACTGGCCGGGTTCAGGCCGGGAATCAAACCCGCGCTGCAGAGATTGCAGACAACCCCACAGCGTGGTGATCAACCCGCTGTGCCACCGGGGAGGCCCCCTTTTTTAACTCTTTTTGAGCCTCCTTTCCCTCAGACCAAAAATCGAGTGAAGTCTTATTTGTAGAAACATCTACAAACATCTAAAAGATTGGGCCAGTTTTTGCCAGATCCCCCATCCTGATGGAAGGAGATGTGATGACTGGAGCATAGTGGCTATCTTGTGACCATGAGGTAACCTAAAACAAAGTCACATGCTTAAAACTTCCCTGTTAGATAGCAGTTTATGTCTCCTCCCATACTCCCTCCAGAGCCCAGTGCACAGTAGTAAAATACTCAGCATCCTGGATATTTCTTCCACATCTCATCAAACCTTCTACCCAGTAGGTTTCTAGTTCAAAATGAATTTTAAGCGTTTCCTACAGAGGAATGTGTTTCCTTGGCTTATCACAGTGGGATCTTGCTCTGTGGACTCCCCCTTACTTCTTTCGACAAGGTGGCTGGGGCCTACCCCTGCCTTGTACATCCTACCTGCTTATTGCAGGACCTATAAAGGCTGATCCTATGGACTCTGACCACCAGGCTGTTGGGTGTAAGTCCTGGTCTCAGCACAGAATCCTCCATGACCCCCTTTTTCCCCTACTAGGATGTCACCCCACTGCAGGTCGTTTTGCCCAACACTGCCCTCCACCTTAAGGCATTGCTGGATTTTGAGGATAAGAATGGAGACAAGGTGGTAGCAGGAGATGAGTGGCTATTTGAAGGACCTGGTAAGTTCTCTCCATCAGGCCCAAAGGCTCCCATGATAGCCCCGATGTCTTCTGAACTTCAGCCTCTGCCTCATCTCCCTCCGCAGGCACATACATCCCCCAGAAGGAGGTGGAGGTCGTGGAGATCATCCAAGCTACAATCATCAGGCAGAACCAGGCCCTGCGGCTCAGGGCCCGGAAGGAGTGCCTAGACCGGGATCGGAAGGAGCGGGTGACAGGTGGGGTGCAGAGGGTGACAGAGGGCCTGTGCGGGAGGTGGGGGACAGGCACTTATAGTCTGGGAGAAGGTGTTCACCGGTGTTTCTTGTGAGCTGCCTTCCCCACCCTAGTCCTGGCCCTGTCAGCAAGATCTGTGGATGAACACTTCTGTCCCCGCCCTTTTCCCTGAGCGGGGGCAGCCACGAGTCTGTCTCGAGATGAGCGAAGCAGGTGTTCGTGCGCCATTAGCCGCTCTACTTGACAAAATGCAATGAGCAAAATGTCTTAAATGCAGGGCTGCCTCTGTGCCAGGTGTGGTTTATTAGGAACGAACTTAGTCCTCAGAGGGCCTTGCGGCATTATTCCCAGTTTCCTGTGATAAACTGGAATTAAGATACTGGCCGGGTTTAGGGCCAGGAAGCGTGAGGCTGCAACTTGTGCCCAGCTACTCCTGCTCCTCCAGTAAACCAGACATCCACACTGTAACGGGCAGTTCTGCTGCCCACTTCAGAGGAAGGTCTTCACTGCGTCACTAAGGCATAGCCAGGTATCTGCGTAGTGCACTTGGGCCCTTAACCCCAGAATAGGGGGTAATTTTCCCCTGGCCCCAAGGAAAGATATGATTACCAGGACTACTGTCTAGCCTTTGAGCCCGGCAGGGGGTTGTGGCATCTCTTGGCCTTCACAGTCCTGGGGATGCCCTGCTGCCTCGGCTGTGGGAAGGGGCAACTGCTGCCCGGGGGAGGGCCCCCCCACCTGTGTGACCTTTGACCCTGACTCCTTTGTTCCAGGAGAGGAATGGCTGGTCCGCACTGTGGGTGCTTACCTCCCAGCAGTGTTTGAGGAGGTTCTGAACTTGGTGGATGCTGTGATTCTTACAGAAAAGGTGTGTGGGTTAAGGGGGCTGGGGAGGGTGGCAGAGGGTGGGGGAAGGGAACACGCAGAGGGCAGAGTATGGTGCCAGAGTGAGAGTTAAAATTTCTAAGGCCAAGAAAACAAGTTCAGTGGTCAATCATGTGGGCTGTCTGGGTTATCCAAAAGGTTTGAAAAGCTCTCTCAAGTTGATAGAACTTCTACTCCAAATCTGGGAGACTTTAGTGGCCAGTGGGTTTCCCAGATCCCCCTGAGGAAGTTGGAAGTAGCTTTATTCAAACACCCCATCATCTCACTCTGCAGACGGCCCTGCACCTGCGGGCTCGGCAGAACTTCCGAGACCTGAGGGGCGTGAGCCGGCGCACTGGGGAGGAGTGGCTGGTGACGGTGCAGGACACGGAGGCCCACGTGCCAGATGTCTACGAGGAGGTGCTGGGGGTTGTGCCCATCACCACCTTGGGCCCCCACAACTACTGTGTGATTCTCGACCCCGTAGGACCGGATGGCAAGAACCAGCTGGGGCAAAAGCAAGTGGTCAAGGTAAACTCCTCCTCTCCCAGAGGTGAAGCCCCTACAGTGGCATGAGGCCCTGCCACCTGCCCCCTTCTCCCCTCCCATGTTTGGGAAACACCTTTGTTATGGCTCCCTGTGCCATTGAGCTCCCTGGCAACCTGACCCAAGATCACACACTGCCTGTTCCGGGTGCGTTCCCTGGCCCTACCTGCTACCTCCAGACTGGAAAGATTCTCCTGGTTCGCCCTCCTCTGTTCTGGAAACTTTGTCACCCCGTGTAAAATAAATCTCGTGGTTTACCTTACTGTCCAGGGTAAACCCTGGTGGCGTGTGGGGCCACCAGAAGTTGGCACATTTTTCCTCTAAAGGGCCAGATCATAAATACGTTAGACTTGTGAGCTGTTTGGTTTTTGTTGCAACTACACAAGTCTGTTGTAGCGTCACAGCTTGTCACAAAGGAGCGCTGTTGCGGTCCTGCAGCGTTGTGTTTGCAATAACAGGAAGTGGAAAAAGCGACCATAGGTGGTTGAATGAATAAAACTGTAGTACATCGAGGTTAAGGTGGGGTGGGAGGGAGAAAGGAGGAGTCAAGGTGGTTATACAAGGAGTGTTAATGGGAGAATATTTGCAGATAGCTAACTGAAGATGACTGAGGAGTCTCACTTGCTTCAGAAAGAGGAATAGTCAGAATATTGGGCATTACGTGTAGTAATAGGGCAAGATGGAGAATTCTGAGCAATGTAAAAAAAAAAAATGCATAAAACAAAAAAGATTGTGGTAAATCCATACAATGGAATATCGTTATCTATAAAATGATAACTACCATGTCACAAAGTAGGGAAACTTAAACATTCCTCTTAGCAAAAGAAGCCAGACATACAAGGCCCCACATCATACATGTACTGTGTATGAAATGTCCAGAATCGGTACATCCTGAACAGAAAATAGATTACTGGTTGGTGGAGGCTGCAAATGGGCACTACTGCTACTGGGCATGGGGTTTCTTCTCAGGGTAATGAGAATGTCCTGGAATTCAGTAATAGTACTGGTTGGCCAACTCTGGATATACCAAAACAATTGAATTGTGCCCTTTATATGGGTAACTTTTATGGCAGGTGGATTATATATCAAATGTTTTTTTTAAGACTCTGGCCCAAAGATGAGAGTTTGCCAACCCAGGACTTACACTGCCCCTAGAAAACAGAGTGAGGGCAAAGCAAAGAGCAAGGGTCAGTTAATTCTTAACTGTTGAGTTGTGAGCTCCAACCCTGACTGTCTGGGGCGTATCGAGGGCAGGTCTGGTCAGGCGAGGCCTGCAGACGGTGGTGGGGAGCTCCCAGCCCAGGCCACACTTCACATTCTGTAATGTGGGGACGAGGAGCTGCTTTTTGGGCTCCCATCCTCAACACAAGCCCAAGGCCACGTGGGCAGTGACCCACATTCTGGCGGCAGCCCTCCTAACCCCATCTCCCTTGCAGGGAGAGAAGTCCTTTTTCCTCCAGCCGGGCGAGACTCTGGAACGGGGCATCCAGGATGTGTACGTGCTGTCGGAGCAGCAGGGGCTGTTGCTCCGGGCCCTGCAACCTCTTCAGGAGGGCGAAGGCCAGGAGAAGGTCTTCCGCCAGGCTGGCGACTGCTGGCTCATCCGCGGCCCCCTGGAGTACGTGCCGCCTGCCAAGGTGGAGGTGGTAGAAGAGCGCCAGGCCATCCCTTTGGACGAGAACGAGGGCATCTATGTGCAGGACATCAAGACAGGAAAGGTAACGGCGGGGGTGGGCACTGTCCCTGCTGGGTGGGCACTAAGGGAGCGGCTGGCGCTGCTGAGGAGGAGGGCGCGGTGGAGGCAGGGGAGAGGACTCGGCACCCACAGCAACATCTCAGAGACTGGCTGGTAGGTACAAGGGCCTGTCATGTAATGGGGCCTTCCCTTTGTCTTAACTATCTAACTTCAAATTGCAGAAACCCCCAAGCAAGATGAGCCAGGCTTTAGGATGGGGACCCTGTCCCTACTGCAGATCTGTGCCCCCACCCATGAAAGTCTTACCGGGGCAAGAGCCAACCTCCTCCTCCCTACGGCCCCCGCCCCAGGCCCACGCCCAGGTGCACTCTTTTACCTGAAACCTGGACCTTGGTTGGACCTTGGACCACATCTCCAACCTTTCTCTAAGAATCCGGCCTAGAAGTAGAGCTCAGAAACCTAGGAACTATATGCTACCATTTCCTGGGGCTGTGTCTGTCCCCAGGTTGCCCTCAAGCTGCCCCAGGAAGAAAAATTCCAGAAGAAATAATATCCAGGCAGGCTGCCACGGTCGTCCCCAGCTATGCATCACCTTTGAAACACTGAAGGAAAAAAAATACCATGCGGCACTTGCCACATGCCCAGTTCTGAGTGCGGGGTGTGTGGGATGCCATCCATTCCTCACTCTAGGAGGGGCCCCGCTCTCAGGCAGATAAGGGACTGAATCACAGGGGTGAAGTAGCTCGCCCAGAGGGGTCACCCTGAATGCAGCCTCATTCCAGAGGCAGGCGTACCCCAACCCGACCACTTTTGCCTCAGGATGCTGGCGGGCCTCTCCCCTCCCCCTCGCTGGTGATGTCACCTGCCCTCCTTTCTCCAGGTGCGTGCTGTCATTGGAAGCACCTACATGCTGACCCAGGACGAAGTCCTGTGGGAAAAAGAGCTGCCCCCTGGGGTGGAGATGCTGCTGAACAAGGGGCAGGACCCCCTGGCAGACCGGGGTGAGATGAACATAGGCAAGAACTTCCCGCCCCCTGCGCCTCGGAACAAGACCCGCGTGGTCAGCTACCGCGTCCCTCACAATGCCGCGGTGCAGGTGTACGACTACAGGGCCAAGAAAGCTCGGTGAGGGGCCAGCCTGGGCCGGGGGTGCAGTGGAAGGGGCACAGTGGGAGGGGCGCTCCAGCTGTCTGACTCCCGCTCCCTCTGCAGCGTGGTCTTTGGGCCTGAGCTGGTGTCGCTGGGGCCTGAGGAGCAGTTCACGGTGCTGTCCCTGTCAGCCGGCCGGCCCAAGCGCCCCCACGCCCGCCGTGCGCTCTGCCTGCTGCTCGGGCCTGACTTCTTCACAGACGTCATCACCATCGAAACCGCGGACCATGCCAGGCTGCAGCTGCAGCTGGCATATAACTGGTGAGCACAGAGGACTTGGCCCGAGCTCCTGTGGGCAGAGTGCCGGACTCCATGCCCTCTGTGGAGAGGAGGGAAGCCCCAGGGGTTCACGCAATGGTGGAGGAACACTTCTGGGAGCAGTTTTTGGGGTACACATTAGGAGGACACTCAGCTATGTGCAAACACCAAATTGCAGGGTCATGAAAAGGTCAGATGGACACGACCTGTGGCAGGCGGGCCCCTTGCTATGGAGCCTGCTGTCTTGGGCTGCACCCCAGGCCTGCCCTGTGCTGGCTGTGGACCTGTGCAAGTGACTTGGCACCTTTCTTTGGCTTTGCAATCTGAGAATGATGCCCATTAACTTCACAGGTGGTTGAAGGGTACATCGAGAACTGCAGGGTCCTACACCAGTTGAGGTCATATGTTAGAATTAGGGGGTCAGCTGCACATAGGAGCAGTGCTGGACAACTCCCCAGTCACCTGTTCCCCACCCCTTGGTGGAGAGGCCAGGACTGTGACAGGCACATGGGTAACTGACAACTTCAGGGGTGCTGCAGCGTGCTTGTGAGGCACACAGGCCCTGGAGCCACGCTGCCTGCTGGCCACTGGTAGTGTGACTTTGGACCTGTCACAACCACACTGCTCCTGTTTCCTTACTTGTAAATTGGGAATAAGGCTCATCTCCGTGCTGGGTGGCTGAAAAAATGAAATAGGAACAGGCCCTCATCTGGCACATGGTGGGCACTGCCTACCCTGAGGGGCCCTGCCCAGCCACAGAGGGAAGGTGTAGAGTCTCCTTTTCAAAGGTGAGAGGGTTTCTGTTTCCTGGAAGCAGATGGCTTCATTGTCCTGGGCCTCTGTTCACAGGCACTTTGACCTGAGTGACCAGAGGGACCCCCAAGAGGCAGCCAAGATCTTCGCAGTGCCCGACTTCGTGGGGGACGCCTGTAAGGCTATTGCCTCCCGGGTGCGGGGGGCTGTGGCTTCTGTCACCTTCGATGACTTCCACAAGAACTCTGCCCGCATCATTCGCACTGCCGTCTTTGGCTTCGAGACCCAGGAAGACAAGGGGACCGGGAGCCTCGCCCTACCTCAGCCCCGGGACCGGGCCGTCTTCCCTCAAAACGGACTGGTGGTCAGCAGCGTGGATGTGCAGTCAGTGGAGCCCGTGGACCAGAGGACCCGGGATGCCCTGCAGCGCAGCGTCCAGCTGGCCATCGAGATCACCACCAACTCCCAGGAGGCAGCCGCCAAGTGAGTGAGGGCTGAGGGCCCAGTGCCCGCTGTGGGCCACACCCCTCCAGGGCCCCCATCTCCAGCCCCCAGCTGAGATAAGGCGATCATGGCACCCCCTTCCCTTGACAGTCAGCCTGCCATGCTCCTCACCAGCAGATAGCGTGACCCCCATCGTGTGAATAGACGCCCCTCTGCTCCCGTGGCTTCTCGCCTTGCCATGCTACAACCCAAACTGCGGCCTTCGCACTCTCCCAGCCCTGCTGTGCCCACCTCCCTGTCCAGTGTTTCTGGAAGCTCTCCCTGAGCTCCTGTGCTCCAGACCACCAGCTCCTTTCTGGCCTCAGATGTACAGCTGGGGTTCCCTCTGCTCAGAATGTTCTTTCTCTAGGGTGCTTTCAGGCCTCTCCTCTGGCCTCAGCCTAAAGCTCAGCACCCTGGAGAGCCCTTGGCTTCCTACCCTAAGCAGTGCCCTCTTTGCCCAGTTGTCATTGCTTCACCTGTTCTGAGATCATCTTTATCCACTTGTTTTTTTCTCACTGGGAGGAACTTGGTCACCATGGCCTTGCCTGTGCACAGAGGCCCCTGGCTCGTGGTGCGCATGATTCTCCTATTAGCACGTTGGGTGCCGCCAGAGGCCAGGGTTTGTGCTGGGCACCTGACAGAGTGTTTGCCCCAGCCCCTGAGCTCCAGTTTAAGTTCTGGCCCCACTCCCGCCTCTGACTGTCTCCTTCCCCATCCAGACACGAGGCTCAGAGACTGGAGCAAGAAGCCCGAGGCCGGCTGGAGAGGCAGAAGATCTTGGACCAATCAGAAGCTGAAAAGGCGCGCAGGGAACTCTTGGAGCTGGAGGCTCTGAGGTGGGTCAAGAACCAGGGAAGGGCCTCCCCGTTGGCGCAGTGGTTGAGCGCTGGGTTGCGAAGCTGCCCGTAGCCTCGCGGTGCTGGTTCGATCCCCGGCCACCAGGTGAGGGTCCCACATGGCGCACAGACCTCTCCTGCCTCCCACTGCTCCCCTCAGCAGTGTACCTCGGTCCTTCTGCCTGCTCTGCTCCCCGCTCTGACTCTGGTGAATTCTCTCACCTTCCACGCTTCTGACTGTACCCAGTGCTTGAAGAACCAGGGAAAAGACAGAGAGGGGCTCGGAGAAGCAGCTGGTGGGGCAGTGAGGTGGTATGGGCACATGCATAACCGCTCAGCCTAAGCCCAGGGGGGCTGGGCTGGGCTCTCCCTGGGTCTCCTGACTCTGCCTGTGTCCCCAGCACTGCCGTGGAGAGCACCGGGACTGCCAAGGCAGAGGCTGAGTCCCGGGCGGAGGCCGCACGCATCGAGGGTGAAGGCTCCGTGTTGCAGGCCAAGCTGAAAGCCCAGGCGCTGGCCATTGAGACTGTGAGTGGGGGAGATGCCAGTGGCAGGGTGTGGGCTGCAGCTCTGAAAGTAGAGGAAGGTATCAGGCGCCCGAATGTAGAGAAAGTCCTTTGTGGTTTACAAGTGCTTGCTCTGTAACAAGGCAAGGAGTGTTCTAGCCTGCTCACAGATACACGCCCACCTTGGCCAGGTGAGACACGCATGATCTTAATGTTCGAAATCCCATTAAGATGAGAATTATCTTTCACAGAAAAGGGGCTGAGCTTGGATGGAGGGCTCCCTTGCCAACAGGGAAGTGCCAACAGGGATTCGTACCTTACAGACCATAAGTTAACGACTTGTCCCTTCCACCTCAGTTCCCTCCAGCTTGCTAGGTGACCTACTAGACAATTTCAGGGGCCACACAATTGAAAGTACACTGCTTTTTCGCCTTCCAGGAGGCTGAGCTCCAGCGGGTGCAGAAAGTGCGAGAGCTAGAACTGGCTTATGCCCGATCCCAGCTGGAGCTGGAGGTGAAGAAGGCCCAGCAGCTGGCCGAGGTGGAAGTGAATAAGTTCAAGCAGATGACGGAGGCCCTGGGTCCCAGCACCATCAGGGACCTTGCTGTGGCTGGGCCGGAGATGCAGGTGAGGGGCACGGAAGTGTATGCATGTGCAGGGGCGGTTCTTGGAACCCAGGGAGGCCTCTCCCTGCATATATGTAGAGATATTGGGGATCACAAGTTTCAGCTAAACTGTCCCTGTGTTCCATGACCTGGTCGGTATCCCTTGAGCCTGGTGTCCTATCAGGCACTCTCCTAGGTTCCCAGGGGTGGGAGATAGGCAGATGGGACACTGGTCTGTGACATTGCAGCAGGTGACGGGGACAGGTGGTGTCTCCCCCAACTAGCTGGCTTAAGGAGGGCCTATCTGAAGAGGGGCCACTATGCAAAATTGACAGGAGCCTCCCAGTGGAGGATCCAAGTACAAAGACTCACCCAAACGTGCATTTCAGGAAGAGAAGGAGTGGCTGCAGCCTGGCAGGTGAAGGGTGGGATGGTGGGCTCTGGGGGCAGCGGCAGGCAGGGGCCAGATCTTGCCAACCCATCCACGCCCCAGAGTGGGTGGGTCCATTTAACTCCTCCTTGTCACTGACTAACCCAAGAGGTTGGCTTGGGCAGTGGCAGCAGTGTAGGGCCAGTTAGGGGTGGCTCAGCCCAGAGAGGCAGGCAAGGGGCTCAGAGGAGGAACCGGGATCTGACCTAACCTCTTGACCTCCTCATGCTCTCCAGGTCAAACTGCTCCAGAGCCTGGGCCTGAAATCAACCCTCATCACTGATGGCTCCACTCCCATCAACCTCTTCAACACAGCCTATGGTCTGCTGGGGCTAGGGCCTGAGGCCCAATCCTCAGCCAAAAAGGCAGCTCTGGTACCTGGCTCCCAAGAAGGCGTGATTCTCCAGACTCCCTCTGTCCCTCAAGCTCCTGCAAACAACTAAATCATACCTTAGTTCTTTTCTGCACCAATAAATAGAACGGACACTTCTGGATGTTTAAATCCTTTCTGTTACGTTAAGTCTACATCACAGGGAATCCTAACTGTGTGTTGGAGGGCAGCAGGGATATGGAAAGCCCCCAAATAATAAGATAGTTACTAATTGCTAGTTTACCAGATCTGTAGAGGCAGCAGAGGCCCCTGAGGGCTAGTCCTAAGGCATGCGTTCCCAAGGTCTTGCCCGCCAGGCTATCCTTTTGGTAGTCAGCTTTGCTAGACTCCAGATAGGGAAGATGATGGGGCCTGCTTGGTCAGCCCCTCTGGGAACGGCAGCATCTTTTCTGGCGTGGCCAGGGAGTTCTGGAATCTGTCCTCCTGGCTGTGGGTGCATCCTTCCGCACCTCCCAGCCCCAGCACTTGTGAGGCGCCCTCTGGTGCCACCTGCTGGCCACACTGCAAACTGGCAGCACCTGCTGCTGTGCACTTGTCCCTTCTCAGATGGGGATGCCAGAAAGAACCCCACCCAGGGGTGACAGGAGCTGGAATACCACCTGGGCTTCTGATATCGGCTCTTCTGGAGCATCGAGAGAGAGGGGGGTACCTTCCCAACCTCCCCCACAACCAAGGAGGAATCCAGACAGGCGCCATCAGAACAGGCACACAAGTAGAGGCTGCCAGGCACGCCAGCCCTTCTGCCCAGGTAGTGTGACAGCTGCCAGGCCCACCCCATCTCTGCTGAGGAAATAAAGGTTCCTGGGGAGGGGTAAGGAAAAGTTTGGACTTATTCACTGTGTGATTAAAAAAGGCAACTTGACCACTGATTATTTTCTTTGTGAAACGGGCCAGCAATTCCCCTTTGGAGTAAGCTTGGTGCTATTTTAGTCTTATTCCTTTTCTCCACTGGGGCCTGATCCCATCAATCTTGTCTCTTTCCAAGTGGAGTCTCATTTGTGTGCCAGCGGCTCCACTCAAGTCTGAGCTTGTCAAGGCCAGGTGCTGCCTGATTAACCCAAGCGCAGTGATGCTCCCAGCTTAGTGCTGACGGAAGAGCTTCCTCCCCTCCCCCCCACCAAGTCCTCCATCCTCCCTTGGAGGGGCAATTAACTTAAAGCTCTCCATCTGGGACCTGGCACACTGAGTGCTGTGTTAGCACAGCTGATTGCCAAGGGCCTCAATGTTGTCCTGGGTGGGTATGTCCCTTCTTGTCTCAGCCACTGACTCACAGGGCCACCCCTTGTCATTCCTAATAACCAGGCTGCCTCTGAAACCTCACTCCTGCCTCACCATTCCTCCAGTCCCAGGCTTCAGGGACTTTGACCCCAACCACTTCCTTGAAGATAACACTGCCCACGCCTTTCACTTCTTGCCCAGTTTGGATTTTGTCATCCCTGTAATTCACCGCTGGAAACCTCCCATAGCTCTCCCACCCTGTCCCACATAACAGCAAAAAGCCCCATCCCTTCCTAACCCTATCCCACCTCTCTCCCCCACCCCTCAGTGGTTGGGGGTTGCCAGAGAAGGACCCCCCTCCCCGCATGCGGGCTGATCACACTTCATGGCAACGAATTTCAAGGAAGACCTAAGACCTCTCACTGAGCTTCTCTAGCTTTCAAGAAATCCCCTGCTGAACAACTTCTCACCCCTCTTCTCTCCCCCCACAGGGCTGCCCACTTTCTCTCACCTCTTTGAGAAAACAGAAGCAAATTGGGCAGGAAGCCCCTCTCCTTCCCAGCAGCAAATCTAACACGGCAGCATCTGGCCTCAGCCCTCCCTGCTGTTCCCACTCAGGATGCTTCCCACAGAGCCAGCTCTGCCCCTATGGCCCTGGGCCCGGCCTCCAGCCCCCCGGCCACTCCTACCCCCAACATCTTTGCCCCTGCTCTGGTAATTTCTTCCCGCGCCTGTCTGGGCTGTCACTAGTGTCGAGACATGCTCCACTGGCTCCCAGATAAACCCAGCAAGTGAGCCTGAGCCCTCCCGTTGACCCGCGTTCCCGCTCGCTATTTTCCCTTCCCAGCCACATTTGTTTCCTCACTCTCATTATCTCCTCAGGGCGCTCCAATTAGCTCCCATCTCCATGCCTGGCTTCAGGGAAATGACTCTAATCCGCCACCACATTGCTGGAGATAGACCGGGACTCAGGCCCCCAGCTCAGCCTCGGCCTTGCCTTTCTCCACAGGAGGCCCCCTCCTCCGAGGCCCCTGCTCCACACGGGGTCCCGTGGACTCCACCTTTCTGCAGCGCAGAAAGCAGGTGGCCCCTTAGTTTCCGTGGCCAACTTGGTTTCCTGCACTCGCCTTTAAATCGTGGGCTGCAGGCCTCCCCTGGTGGCGCAGCGGTTGAGTGCTGGGTTGTGAGGCTGCCCGCAGCCTCTGCCACGCCAGTTCGATCCCCGGCCACTGGTGAGGGTCCCACAAAAAAAATAAATAAAATAAATAAATCGTGGGCTGCTCTGGGCCTTGCCCTCTTGCTCAGCTACATTCCCTACCACTGGCTTCACTCTTTCCAGCGAGACTCGGTGTCTCCGTGTGGGCCTCCGAAGGCCATCAGACTTGCAAGTGTCCATGAAATGCAAGGGGAGAGCACCACCTCTCCTCCCCAGCCTGTACTGACCAGCAATCCCTCAGAGGGAGGCTGCTGGATCAGCCTGGGTCTCGGGCAGGAAAGGCAGGCAGCAGAGACACAGCTGGCCCACAACAGACACGCAGCACACGCGAGAAATAAACATTTGCCGTAGTAACTGGGGAGGGGGGTTGAGGATTAGCCCCCATAATCTAGTCCATCCTGCGCAGATCTCCCAAGGTTGCACAGCCAGTACAGAGTCAAGGGAAGCTGCTCTTTAAATCATAAGTGTGAGGACAGCCTGGTGCCGAATACACGGAGGGGAGACGCACCTCAGAGAGAGGAAGGCACACCTTCCAGTGAATTCCAGATCACACCAGGGCCAGATTGTCAGTTCCCAGACACAATTGCCCAGAAAATACAGAGCAGAGCAGTGTGATTTCTAATGAAGTTCCACACAGCCTGACTGTCTTAGCACTGGAGCAAGTGGTTTGAATTTGGTTTGATTGGGTTGAATACCAGATGAAGTCATTGGCTTAAAGACCTCGTGTATGTGAAAAACCTGGGTCTTTAGAAAGCAAAGTCACATTCAGCATAGTAAGGCACCGGAAATCCATTTGCTCTTGCTCCTAGGCACACTAATCCATGTCCCAGACTCCCCTGCAGGTACACGTGGCTCCCGTGACCAATGAATGTGAGGGAAGCAGGTGCCAATTCTCCACCTTCCCACAAAAAGCAGCCTTGTGCTGTCCTCCAGGCACACCACCTCTGCCTGGAGCCGCAGGCATGCGGGCCCTCAAGCAGCCACGTGTGGAAGACTGTGAAGCCGCCAGCCCAGGAGAGCCCAAGAGCATCTCCCTCCAATCCGGAGCGCCTGGTTAGGACTCCCCAGGCATTAGATATCAACTTCTAAGATTCTTGACTCACTCTGGGACTTGAGTTTTGTTGCAGCAATGAGGGTTACCTTGACTCAGCCTGAGACCTGGGGAGACACTCCTGAGGGAATAGCCTGACACATACACACATTCCCCACCTCTGCTACCCGAGCTGCCGCTGAAGCCCACTAAGTGGGGCAAACAGATGGAAAGCCTTGCAAGGTGGTTACTCATTCAGTCTAAAAGCAGAGCTGAGGGCCAGAAAGTTAGTACTGTGCACGCTGCAGTCCACTGGGGCTGTTGTAACAAAAGGCTGGGAAGCTGATAAACAACAAAATTTATTTCTCCCAGGTCCAGAGGCTGAGAGCCCGAGATCAAGGCATCAGCATGGCGTTCTGGTGAGGACCCCCTTCCTGGTTCATAGCCAGCAGCTTCCTAGGGTGCCCTCACTTGAAGGAAGGGGGAAGAGAGTCCCATGGAGTCTCTTTTGTAAGGACATAATCCCCTTCATGAGCGCTCTGACCCGAAAGGCCCCTCCTCCAAATACCATCACACTGAGCATTGATTGGGTTTCAACACAAGAAGTTTGCAGGGACACAAACATTCAGACCACAGCAACCTAGAGCGTGACAACAGCGTATTACCTGATCAAACAGATTCCAGAACCCAGTTCAGCCCAGACTTTCCTACCTGAAGTCCGACGAAAGGCACCAGGCTGACCTCCAGGCCACACCAGGCCAGCAGGCTCCGTCAGTCTCCTTGAGGGGAAGTCGCTCCACCTCTTCAGCCCTTCTTTATTTAGATCACCTGGAGCTGGACTTACATCAGTTAAAGACTCCTGATATTACTGTGAACGATGGGAGCCAAGGAGTCAGTCAGGGTTGAGGGGCTCAAGTGAGTGGCCAGGAGGGCTCATTCGCCGGAGGGGAGAGCTGATTCATGAGGGACAGAGAGGTGACAGGAAGGAAAATGCCCTGGAGAAGCTGGGAGGGCATCCCCAGCATAGGTGTGTATGGGGTGGTAGCTTGCTGTGGGAGGGGTGATTCAGCTTTGAGTCAGTTTTCAAGTCCAAGTTTGTCCCCGCCCTTCAAAGTTTACCCTCCAAATGAGCCCCAGAAAAGGGCCCAGTGATTTACTCAGCATGGTTCGCGGAGGTAGGACCTAATAAAGTAAATAATGGAATTCCACGCCACCATTAAGAAGGTGCTGATGTGGACTGGTGTGTCTGGAAAACATTAAGGCTTTACCACCTGGAGCCAAGCCAGTCAGGTTGGCCTGCTCTCAGGACCTCGATTTCCGCTCTGGAAGATGCTTGCTGTAAGGGGACTGTCACATTATTTAGTACACAGTAGAATGTCAGTGTGAGGTGAAATGAGGTAACACCCCCCCAAAAAAGTGGTAGCTTATGTTAGCAGATCAGCACATATACAAAATGAAACTTAGAATGCTGAAATATATATATGCATAGCCCTGAAGAATTTATTTTGACAGACACATAAGCAATGAGCAGCGCTGGTTGCCTCTGGGGAGAACTGTGACCTGGAGGTGACAAGAGACTTTGCCATCTTTTTATAATGTGTACAACTGAAATTTTTTTTACCATGTGAATATTTCACCTATTATTTTGAAAAGATTTCTTTGGTGGCTCTGAGTGGCTCTCAGGACAAAGGCCAAACATCCCACAGGACTCATCCATCCTAGCAGCTTCTGCCTCATCTCACCAGCTCTCCAGCACAGAATGTTCCAGCCACATCGATCTATTTCTATTTTCATTTCTGAAAATGCCTAGGGTACTCTCTGGCCTCCCCCGCTCCCTGGGCTGAGAATCAATCCTCTCCTCTGCCCGCTCCATCTCTTCCAGCTGCCTACCTAAAATACCCACTCCTTCACCAAAACCTAAGTGCAGTGCCACAGCACTTTCTGCTTCCATCTTCCCAACAAGCACCTCCCATTCCTGCCCCATAACCTTCAAGAGGGCTGGGAAGCCGTAGCCCTGGTGACCAGAGTCCCCCGGGGACTGGCATAGGAGTGGCCCAATGTGCAGCTTTTCCTGACATGAGGGCCTCCTGGCTAAGCTATGATGAGGATAAAATGAGTAACATCTGCCATGAAGGCTCAGCATGGAATCTGGCATATGGCAGGCCCAAGATAGTTTTAAAAAGAATGCTGGTGTCAGACAGAGAAAACTCAAATGGTAGGGTTGTTAGGGACAGAAGCCCAGAGTGATGTTTATAGGGGTGTTCCCTATAGGGGTATTTGGTATAGCGGAGTTCCGACGATTTTAAGAATGGACATCCATTCTCAATGGGGAGAGATCGATCACCTGGAATCTATTAAGACTGCACATTTCTGAGCTGATCCACACAGGGTGACAGGTCTGGCACAGCAGCCAAGAAGCTGAATTTTAAGAAACATGCTACAGGGGTCTAAGGACTGCACTCTGAGAAACGAATTGATCTATTTGTGAATATTTATTAAGCAGCTACTCTATGCCAGGTTAAGATTACTCTTCATTGTAGGGCTAGAGAAGGAATGAGAAACGTCTGTGCCTTGGTGAAACTTACAGTCTTGTGTGGACAGAAAATATCAGATATATGAATACACGTGGACAGCCAGTGACAGGGTCGAATAGAAAATAAAGCAGGTGGCCAAGAGGACATGGCATGAGCTTGGTAGCAGAGAGGCCTCTCTCTGTGGGATGATGGGAAGGAGCCAGTCAGTACAAAGGGGAAAAAGTATCCAGATGGATCTTCCTTTTCTCCAAGCTCCCCTTCACCTAGGCCCTGGTCCAAGAGTTTCTCAAAGGAAACCAAGTGCAAAAGAGTGAAGCCCAGGTTTTATTGTGCCAAGACAGACAGGAGATGGCAATGCGGAAGGATCTACACAGCCCCTTCTCTCCAAGGTATGGCACCTAGGCTTCCTCTGGCCAGGGACAGAGGTCCCCTCCTTTTGGGAAACCTGGCCCCACCCTACCTCCCTTTCCCAAGGGTCTTAAAGTCTTGGGCCAAACCAGACCCCAAGATTGAGCCAGCGGAGAGACAATGCCCAGTCCTCAGGCCTCCTGGCACCCTGGGAGCACTGCTCGCATGGGCGGGGCCACCTGAGTATCCTTCCTGATCTTAAGTCCAGGTCCTCGGGGATCACAGGGTGGGACCAGTCCGCAGGATCACGGAGAACATGACATCACGGAAGAGGCTGACCCCTTCCCAGCAGGCTGGACAACACAGTAGGAAGATGTGGGCCTGGGAACTCCCAGAGGGAGAAGGGAGCCACGTGGCTAAGCCAGACTCCCAGGGCAGGTAGGACACCAGGGGCTGGAGGTTCCAGGATCACTTCTTCCTGGAACGATCTGCTGCATCCAGGGCAGCCATGTTGCGGGCGGCTGTGATCAGGTGGATGACGCTGATGAGGGACTTGAGCAAGGCAATGGGTGCGGTGATCCAGAGGCCCATTCGGAAAAGACCCACGGAACCAACTGTGGGAAGAGAGCAGGGACGGACATAGAAAAATGGGATGCAGGAGCCAGGGTCTGCGGCCTTCCTCCCCCAGCCTGGCCAGAACACCCCATGCTCCCACCCAACCCCTCACCACTTACCTAAAGGTCCCTCGGAGAAATTGAACAAGTAGAGGAGGCAGTAGAAGAGCTCGTTCCCGGCACACAGGGTAAAGAGAGCAGGCTGCACAACCAGCAAAATGTCCACTTAAGCAAGAAGGTGGGCAATGCCCCCTCCCCACACACAACACCCTTCACCCCCAAGGGACAGGGGGCCAGAACCCTCTGAGGACAGGCAGCAGGAAGCAACTGTACTGGGCCATTAGGGGTGTGTTGTGGGTGTGGAGAAAGGGTGGGAGGAGAGAGCAATGGTCACGCTATTACTTATCACTTCAAAGATGCATTCAGAGGCTGCCTTTGCTCCCAGAATAAAGTCCGCATTCCTTGTCACAGCCTGAGGCTTTTGAGAGCTGGCTTTGCAGACCCACTTTCTCCCTCCCTGGGCCTAGCGGGGCCTGCCTCTTTTCCACTTGCTGCCAGAAGCTTCACATTAGCCCTCCCCACTGAGTCTATTCTCTTACAAGCCTCAAATCATAGGCCGCTCCACCCTTGGGACCAGGCTGAGCCCGGAAATGGCATAAACTGAGCAAATAAGGGAGGGGCAGGAAATGCTCACTCTGGAGGTGTAGTAGATGCGGAGCACTGGGTTTCCAGACAGGTCGATCATCTTGTGACTCTCACTGCCTCGAACCACAGAGCTTGAAAAATAAACAGGGGAGGGGAAGCCATTAGTGTCCATTACCACTAATGCCCACCTAATACTCCTACCAACGCCCACAAAGGAGGCACTGAGCAGTAAAGAGGAGAAACTGTGGCCCAGCTGAAGACCATGTACCCAAAGCCACAATGACCTAGTTGGGGGCAGAGAAGGAGTCACATGACACCTTCAAAAGCCCCAAGCTATTCTCTATTTATACTCTTCCAGTATTCAGCCAGACGGCTTTAGAGATGGCTTGATACAACTGTAAACAGGATTGAAACACTCAAAAAGGATTTGCCCAGGGTCCTACAACAAAGCAGAGCTAAAGCGGAGAAGGCTGAAGCCATTCCAGATACCCTCCCACAGAGCCTCACCCCTGCCCACTGCAGCATCTTCTCCCGCATCAGCACCCCCAGACCCCGCCGAGGCAGACCTGTGGAGGTGCAGCCAGTGGCTGGCCACATCCAGGCTCATGCTGAGCTGGAAGAGAAGGGTGGCTCGAGGGTAGAGCAGGGCCAAGTTGACGAGCAGACACATGGTGGAGCAACGGTCTGTCAGCATGTCCAGCATGGCCCCAAACCGTGTCCCTGAAAATGGAGACTATTAAGTGGGAAGGGGCGGTGGACCCGTGGCAGGTGCTAAATTTGCATCACTCTGATGTAGTCTACAAGAAGACTGAACTTCCACTGTCCACTGGGAAGGAAAAGAGGCTGCCAGCTGGGGTGAGGCCAGGGTCACTGTGACAGGAAATGAGGCCTCACTGGAGCGTGAAGAGACTAAGATAGTGACTGCTACTGTTAGGGGAAAGGCTGTCCTGAGCCGTGGATGAGGACCCACCATCAGGCAACCCGTTTTGTATTGGGGCTGCCCTGTAACAGTCAATTCCAGAACCAAGGGTCCACGTCAAGATAAGGAAATCCAGGACTAAGGGGAAGTCTGAAGAACAGATGGAGTAGCCAACCCTTCGGGAACCACACCCCTTCCCTTCCCATCCCCCCTCTAAACTTGTAGGACATTTTATTCAGAGAGACCTCTAGTCGCTGCCACTGCCTGCAGCGTCCAGGATCGTTACCCTACACCCTTCAGATCAGTTGGCCCAACAGCTAGCTTAAGTCCCTTCTGCAACAAAGCCCCGCCATTCTGTTCTGCTTTCTACGGAGATGGGTACCCGATTTCCACTAGTACCTGCCCACCCTGAGGAGGCAGAAAGGGGGAGAAGGTTAATGGGCCCCAGGCTGGCTGAGAGGAGGTGGTGTCTGTCACCTTGATTAAGGACTCGAGCAGCATATCCATCGAAAGCGTCCAGAAGTCCGCTGAGCAAGTAGAAGGAGGAGGCCGTGAGGGGGCAGCAGGGCATGAAGTAGAAAGAAATGATGGCGAAGACAATCCGGGCATAACCTTGGGATGGGACACGGGGGTTCGTGAGCGGGGAGAGAGAGACAGGCATGGATCAGTGAGCCTCTCCACGGCCCTCGCCCTCCCGCTTGGCCCGGAGCCGCGGGCAGCACTCACCGATGAGGTTAGGCACGAACAGGAAAATATTTTCCTCCGGCATCGCGGCGGTCCCTCTGCCTCCCAGGGCCGGATCTTAGAGGTGCCAGCGCAGTCCACGCCCCGCCGCGCTCTCACCCTCCGGCCCTGCGCATCGGCCGCGCCAACTGCGCGCAGGACCCCGCTGCCCCGGGCCGGTCCCAGCTGCTACAGCTCGCAGCCCGCCCGAGCAGGGGCCGCCCCAGATGTGCGCCGGGCGCGGGGGACGCGCACACCGCGCCCTTCCTGCGGGCCGACCCTCGCGTCTGCCCGCCTAGCCGGCGCTCCGGCCTCCAGCTGCGGCTCCTGCTGCTCCAGCTGCGCTCGACTCCCTGAACCCTAATCTCCAGCGCCTGTCCTTGCAAAACTGGAGGAAGGAAAGAGGCTTAAAAAATGGCTACGGTCCCTTTAAGACCTGCCAGCTTCCTTTTCCTTTTCCTCTCTCCGCCCCTTTCATTCGGCTCGTACCAAAGGGCAGAGGGGGGGGACAAAGCATCACCGCCTCCGAGCAAAGGAAGGACCTGAAAAGGAGCGGGCAAAAGAGAAGGAAGTCTTAACGCATGCCTCCACTTTCCTTTTTGTGGCGATGGTGGTTACCTGGAGACAAAGGTAAACAGAAAATATTTCCCCCGCCTGAGCCTTTGCCTCCCCAAGAGATAAAGTCACTTAGTACAGTCCACATTTTAGCTCCCCGCCCCTCCCTCGGGTCGCTTTTGCTCTCGCAGACTCCAGGCTACGTGCGACGGCTAGAGAGGCTGCGGGCGGCCCGGGGCGGGGCTGCGGCTCGCGTGCCCCTGGTGGTGGGAGGGTTGAATTGCAGGCGCCACCCGACGTAATCTCCCCTAGTTACTTCAGCCTCCGCGCCGGGGTCACCGCCCCCTAGAAGGACCGGGGCGGGGCTGGAGGGAAGGTCTGAGGGGCGAACGCGGGGAAAATGCCCCGCTCTGGGTTCTAGAATCCCTGATCTCCTGGCAACCGGATTGTGGAACCTGGTAGACACAGAGGGTTTTATAGCAACGGTAGCGCAGCCGCTCCGGGGGGCCCCCCTCTCTCCTGCCTTCCTCCCCACTTCCAACTCCCCATTCCCCCGCCACCTATGATCTGGGCTTCTTAGACCTACCCATCTTCTCTCCTGCCAGTAGCCCAAGGTATCAACCTACCTGCCAGGGCGGGGAACAGGAGGTGGCTTCCCAGGTTGGGGAGGGCCCTGGGTGAGAAGGAGGCTAGAGGGGCCCTCTGGGTGAAGCGGGTGTCTCCACTCCACTCGCTCCCAGAGGAAGACTTGAGTCAACTTTTTTTTTTTTTTTATTCCCAGAGAGTGAAGTAAGATAATGGGATGGTTTTCTAAAGACCTCGTTTAACTCTGGGCTCCGGGAATGGTGATGGGATGGATGTGGGCGAAATGGACAGGTTTCTCAGTCAAAACCTGATCCAAATTTTCCCAGGGGGATGGCATCCGCATCTACCAGGAATGAGGAGAAAAAGAACAGCCGGCCACCCCAAGCTACAACCTCCTTGGGTGCATGTTCGGTGAGGCCTGGACTGGACTTCTACAAGGGGGGAGTGTATTGAAGTGGAGAGTAATTAGGCTGAGGGCATTGAGACCCCCAGCCTGGAGCCTCTAGCCTCAGCCTAACCCATAGCCCCTCAGCCCTAGGCCATGAGGCTCCCATAGACTGTCCCCCATCAAATTCCAGGGTCTTCTAGGCCTAATCTCAAAACCCAGACACCTTAGACCCCAAACCCCAGCCTGGGAGCTCCCAGCCCCTGGAATCCCATGTTAGAGCTCCCAGGCTGAGCCCCTCTGCCTTCTCTTTCCCAGAAGGTTTCGTTGTCCCGTTCGGAAGAATTCCTGACTCGGATCAGCACAGAACTCACCAATGAGGCCTTGTTTGTCGCTGGCTACCATATGAACCCTATGCCCAATAAGGAAAAACAGACACAAGACCAAGGGACTCAGATATCCAGACACGGTGACTCGCCCCTTCAGGACCACTGCCTCCAAAGATCCACCCCAACTCGTAGTTCTAGACTCTAACCCCCTCGAAACATAGTTGGCCTCTTCAGGAATCTGTGCTCGGCTCCCCCATCTCACAGTCAACCCCAGGATCTACACAGTGCCCGCTATCCCAACACCCACTTCTCATCACTGCGCAGGAGTCCCTCGGTCCCTATGCTTCCTCCCTAGCCACAGCTCTGTCTATGGGGACAGTCACTTCTCTGATCAGGGCTCCACTTCCATGTTCTTCACTGAGAATCAAGGCCCTGACACCCGGTGAGTGAGACTTAAAAGGAGATGCCCTTTGTCCTCAGAGAACAATGAGGAGCCTATAGGGGAGAGAGAGAGAGTTTGAACAACACCCCACCAGGGTAGATGGATTTTAAAACCACATAGTCCTATCATGTTCTCTGACCCTTGAATTCAGAGTTCTCAGCCCCGTCCTTTCCTTCAGTCATCTCTAGCTCCAATAGAAACCGTACCCACACCAAGACATACCTCCTGCCATCCCCTCGTGACAAGGTATGTCAAGGCTCTTGGATGTCAAGACCACTTAGTATTGACCAAGCATTTACAGTCCCTGTTTTAGGGTCTTAGACACAGAAGTGGATGGTACTGTTCAGTGTGAGTCAGTTGAGTAAATGGCCAGTTACAACATGGATAAGTTAGTGCCCTTCTAGAAATGGGGACAGTGAGAAGAGCACTTATCCCACCTCAGTTGGGACAGGAATGAAAGAAATCATGGAGCTTCTTGGAGGTCACACCCAAAGAAATAATTTTCTAGGAAAAAAGCAGTTGGTGGAGGTATTCCAAGTGGTAGGACTTTCATGAGCCAAAGTTCACAGAGCTGAGTCTCACCTCTGTGTGAGCATATCTCTGTGTGTTCGGGGCAGAGGGAAGGGTACCACCAGAGAAGTTTAATTGGTGTGTGCCCACAAGGTAGCCGGAGACTAATCAAGAGACCTTAGTGAGTCTTATTAAGAGTCATAGGCATCTTCCTGTAGGCAAGGAGCCATTGAAGAGTTTTGAGCAAGGGAGGTTGGAATTTTAGATGGTGGAGGTCATTGTGTGCAGTGAACTGAGAAGGGAGAGCTGGAGCTGGGGAACCAGTTAGGAATTAATTCAAGGGACTGGGCTAGAGGATTGGGTTCTAAATTGAGTAATAGTGGAGCTGAGAGGAGGGCAGATGGGAGAAATAAAGATCAGGGAGAAGACTGAATCTGGTAATTGATCCAAACTGGTAGGGGAAAGAAGAATCAGATGACTCTCTGGCTTCTCTTGGTAGCAGTCTGATGAAGTCATGCTTCTGTTCAGAACTCTACATAGTTCCCCATTTCATAATAGAAGCCCAAATCTTTCAATGGGCTTTCAAGGCCCTGCATGATCTCTCTCCTCCCCCAGCTCATTGTCTCTCTGACCTCATTGCCTAGCACTGCTCCTCTTGGCCCCTGCCTCCCTCAGGCATGCCAGCCTTCTCATTCTCCCTGGAGCTTGGCAGGCCTTTGGACATATGTTGGGTTTGAGATGCCTTTGGGAACCCAGGTGGAAATACCCTATGAACAGTTGGAAGTACCGCTTCAGAACTCACTGGAGAGGTCTGGGCTGGTGATAGAGATCTGATCTAGGAGGAGGTGGGCACTTGAAGGGTGTTTTTCCTGGACGCTTCCTGGGGGGTGGGGTGCCTTGCTGTTAGGGGGGAGGTTGTGCAGAGTAAGCACAAAGAAGGTTCTGGAAATGGAGTTCTGAGAGCTGCTTCATGTAATGGATTACCAGAGAGAGAGAGAGAAGGTTCACGCAGAAGAGAGAGAAGGCACTGACCATCAGCGTTTATTGAGGGTCTAGTAGGTGTCGGGCCTACCCGGCTTTGGGGATAGTCATTTCTCCAACTGGGGCTGCTACTTCAAGTTCATGACCAAAGCTAGAAGTAAAATACAGCTGAGAAAAAGCCACTATTCTTGTCTTTGGGAACTTACTTTCTAGTGCCTTTGGGCCATTTGATCTCTCCCAGTTGGTCTTTGGTGTTGGAAGTAGCTTGAAGTAGCAGAAAAGCCCTGGGCTTTAATGGCTAATCTGCTATTAACGTGATAGCCTTGTGCAAGTTGCTTTCTTCTCCCTTCATGTCAAATGGGGGAGCCTTGGACAAGATGCCCTTGGAAGCTCCTATTTGTTTGTCGGGTGTTTTCCCTCTCTTTCCCAAATGGCACTTGAGTGAAGATTTCACCATGAGCTAATGCCTTCCCCTCACCCACCTCTAGTCTCACATGATCCCAAGAGATTTTTCCTTCATCCTCAAGAAAGGACACAGAAGCCTACAGATCTCTGAATTGCCACCTGACTTGGGGGGCATTGTAGGTGGTCAGAAATGTTGGGAGTGGTTGGACGAGTGGATGGGGGGTGTAAGTGGGTGACTAGATAAATTCATCGAACATTCATTAAGTACTTACTACATGGTAGGCTTCAGGACTGGAAGATGAAAGTGAGCAAAATAGAGTCTCTCCTTGGGGGCGGGGGTGGGTGATTTGATGGAAAAGAGATGAGCGGGTGGGTGGAGGAAGGACTGATGGATGGGCAGATGGATAGATGAGTGGAAAGATGGAATGCAGAATGATGGGGAGACGTGTGAGCGGGTAGGTGCACGGATGGGTGGAAGGAAAATGGTGACTGGATGGATGGATGACTAGCTAAGTGGGCTGTGGTGGACACATAGATGGGGGGGTTAGGATTGGATGGACGGGTGGAGGATGGAAGCATAGAAAGATAGGAGCCTTGGGTCTCAGAGTTATAAGCTCTTATTCTTTTCTAGGGAGCGCTGCCTAACAGTTTGACTTCTGGAAGATGATCCCAACCCTGTTGGGTGCTGCTCTGGGTCTCATGTTCCCCCCTATTCTGTGCCTCTGAACATGCCTTTAAGTTCCTTTCCCACAACTCATTAAACACTTTGGTTTGGAGAAGACTCCTGAGTATGATCCCTAGAGCCTCCAAAGTGTTCTGGCCCATCACATACCTCTGCACCCTCAGCTGGCCAGAAAGCAAAGGCTGTAATAGAGAGAGACCTGCCCCTTTCCCCAATCCAGGCAATGCTCTGGTGTGGTTTCTCTGGGATGGGGACGTGGGGGAGGGGTAGCCTCCTTTTATATTTGCCAGGTGTGTGGGCATATTATTGGAATGGTATATTTCATATTCTTGGAATAGTTTCAATTCAGGTTGTTATCTGTCTGTCTGTTGGCAGAGGTGAGCTTGTGGATCCAAATCCAGCCTTTTATCCAGATTCCATCACCCTAAGGTCTAGGCCTTTGACACCTGAGAGGGTCCACCCATGCTTCTTAGGAGCAACGTCTACCTCCGCCATCAGTGCTGGTCTCCCCTCTGTACCTTGCATTGGGGGGAACATGTTGCCCCTCTTCCTAGCCAGAAGATGGCGCAGTGGGCCCTGTGGAGTTTGCATTTAAATGCTCCTCTGGCCACTCACTGGAACCTTCTGAGGAGCCAGTTCACATCTCCAAGCCTCAATTTCCTTATCTGAAGAAGGGGAACAACTGTCCCTGTCTCATGGGGTCTCGGTGAGAGTCACGAACACACTACACACAAGTGCTCAACACCACATCTGGGCTGGAATAAATGCCCCCAGACTTGTGCAATTACTGAGATCAGTTGGCTTCACATTCTCCTTAATTCAACCCCTTTTGAGATTTCAGTGTCCTTTCAAGTCTCTTTAAAATTTTAATTGTATTTAAATTTAAAAATTTTAATTACGCAAAATTCAGTTAATTTGGAGACACTTTAGATCAACAGGCTATAAATCCATGACAATGTTCAAAAACCAGAAAAAGTAGAAAAGAACACCCACAGGATACAAAACAAGCTCTTTTTTTATGGCACGCTACAGTTTTGACCAGCCTGTGGTAGACACACCGCAGCGGGTATGCTTCCACTGCCTGCGGCGGTGAGCCAGGAGCATGGCACATTTGGGTGGATATTAAAAGTCTTCAAAGGGGGTTGAGATTTAGCATACCGGTCCTGACATACATCGAGAGCTGTTTGCCTCCTGCCACACAGGAAGGATAAGCAGCTACCGCCAGCTGTCATGTGGCCAGAAGAACCTAGAAACATCAAGCCCTGATGGAGGCAACTGGGGCTCGGAGGGGGCTTGTCCCAGGGGCTGAACTGAAATTCAGGCTCTTTGACTCCAGCGAACCCCCCTTGACATTGCCCTGGGCCCAGGCTTGGATTTCCCTCTTTTTAGCCAAATCCGCCCCCCCCACCCCCCGTCCCCAGCCCCCTATCCAAAGAGGCCGCCGTCACGTTTCCAATGCTCTGTGGCCCACTTTCCCACACCCCACCAGCCCAGTTACAAATGGTGATTTTCTGTTTATTGCTCAAAAACAAAAATCCATAAGCAAAGGTAGGGAGACTGGGGTGGGGAGATGACAGGAAGGGGTTGGGGCCTTGTCCCAGCATCCCTTTCTTCCCTCTTCTGCTGCTGCTCCAGGGCCCCTGGTCAAGCCCAGGGCCAGAGCATCGGGGAAGGACAGAGCCTCACTGGCCAAGGGAACTGCGGAGATTTCGGGAGCAGTCTCTGTGGGGTACGGTAGGCTGGAGGGGCCCCAGATAGTTCAGGGGAGCTGAGTTCCCTTTCCAGGGCCCAAAAGCTAGTGGGGGGAGAGGGCAGGCCCCTTGTTTGGCAACTGAGAAGAGGAGGCTTTGGGCAGCAGGATGCTGGTTTATTTACTGTAGGGTCCCCAGGGCTAGCAAAGCCCCTGTGGAACCAGGAGACTATTTACACGGCAGGGAGGAGAGGAGCCAGAGGCCAGGTCCTGTGCTCCTCCCGCCCAGAATGAGGCAGGGAGGGGCATCCTGGGTCCTGAAGCCTTAGTCTTGGGGTTCAGATGGAAACTTCATACTCCCGTGTATCCTGGAGACAGAGAGATGGCATCAGTTGCTGGAGGGGGGGAGGTGGCAGCAAAATGGAAGGGGGCATCCACAAAAAGGGGAAAGTCTCTGGGCTTTTTAAATATCATTGATCACTCAGGCTTTGGGGGTCACAGGGTGGGAATGGGGCTCAATCTGGCCAATGGATGTGTTTAGTTCATCCTCTAGATCTTAAAATCACATAAAAATCTGAATGTCTCATCATCCTGACCACGCAGTGGGGCCTAAGTGGACTGGCTGGGACTCACTGGATTCTCCAATTAGCTACGGTCCTCACCGCTCCCTATTGTTTAGACATGACTTGATTTGTTCATGGACATGGTCTTTGTAGGCAGCTGAGTTTGAAATTCCAAAGACAGAAATCACAGTCATTGAAAGAGGTTATAGAGCCCCGAGGGAGCGGAGAGGTGTGGCTCCAGGAGGACTCACCCCAGCTTCATAAAGTGGATTGCTGAAGTCTGACTCCACCGTGATGGGGCTGTAGGAATGGGAGCCCGAGAAGCCGAAAAGGGATTTCCCTTGTAGTCTGGGAAAGGGAGAAGACAGAGTGGGTTATCAAGAGGTGAGCTTCCAAGTCTACCTCACCCAAGCTTCGGCGCCGGCGGACATCTTGTCTTCCCCGGCCAGCAGCTCCCTGAGAAGGGTACTTACTTGGTGTAGTATATGTACACGCCACTGCCGAGGACAATGACCAAGCCTAGGGGCAGAAGAATGGCCAAGGCGAGGTTCCCACCCTCCAGCTGCCGGGATGGGTCTGTGGTCTGGGTCACTGGGGGAAGGAGGAGAGGCCAGTGAACTGGGGCTGGGCCCAGCCCTGCGCTCTCCCCAGCCTTCTGCCCTGGACCCTGCACCCTCGGTCTCAACCCTCCGGGGCCTGGCCTTCAGCCCCTGGCCTCTGCCTTGCCCTCCCGACTCAGCCAGGCCTGGGTCTCCACCTGTGCCCTCACTGACCTTCCAGTTTTCGGTTGTCCAGGAGCTCCTCATAGGCCACTGCAGGGAGAGGAGGGGGAGGGGACGGGGTCTGAGCCAGGGTGGGAAGGAGGCTGGGTGGAGGGCAGGGAGCCCAGTGGGGCTGGGTTGGACAGCCTAGTGTTTTGCCCCTCTGCTCAACCTAAACTTCATCCTTCCCTTGGCGGGAGTGGAGGAGGATTAGTCAGCCAGGACCTTCTTCCTCCTTCTCCAGACCCCTAAAAGTTCAGGGCTCCTGGGCAATCTGATTCAAAATAGGATTTGTGCAGAGGGCAAGGGATTTTCAAACCAAAGCCTGCTCTGCTATTTTCCTTAGGATAGTTGCATGACCTTGAATTTCCCCAGGACTTCTGGATGTACCCAGGAGGCTGAGAGCCCACAGGATGGGGGTGGGAAGCTCACCAGAGTTACTATTGCTCTCAGAACTTGCTACCCGACTTTCGATCCCTGTCATGCCCCTTGGCACTGTTGTGCCCCTCACTACCCTGTCCACCCAGGCACCTTTGCAGAGTGGGGGCTGGCTGGTCCAAAGTGAGGGGTGGCCAGGCACACAGGTGATGGTGACCTCGCCGATGAGCTCAAAGCCCTCATAGCAGAAGAAGCGTAGAGACTCGCCCGCCTGGTAGTGATGCTTGTACAGCGTCTGGTAGCCATTCTCCGGTACCCCAGGGTTCAGGCACGGCTCATACTTCACTGCAAGGATCACATCTGTCACATGCCAGCTACACTGCTGAACAAGCCACCCAGCCATGCTTCCCAGGGTGTCCCCAGACTCACAGGCGCACTTTGGGACCCGGTCGCTCCACTTGGGCGTGCCTGTGTCCCGGCTGTAGCAGGTGAGTACGGCGGCCCCCTCCAGGCTGTACCCCGGCAGACAGCGGTACTGTACATGGGAGCCAACAGGGAAGCCAGCGTCCGAGGCAGTTCGGTGCCCGTTGGTGATCTCACCAGGGTCAGCACAAGTCATAACTGTTGGCAGAGGCCAAGGATGATAGGCGCTAGGGCCTTAAAAGATCTCTCAGAAGCTTAGGGCCAGGGAGGCCTGAGACTTGGGGTCATCTCCTCTGAGTATACCCCTGACCTCCCACTGTTTTCTCGGAATGCACAGCAGGCTTTGACAAAACTTAATTCAGTGCACTTTAGATTTCAGGCTTCTTCTGGGAAACAGTGATTAAGGCAACCAGGTCTCCACCCTAGGGTGAAATTTGAACTATTTAACCACTGTACCAGAAACATACTCACTAAACCCCAGATGGGTCAGCCCTGCATGGCAGGTATGGGCTGGACAGCTGCTGTCTCTTAAGAGGGGCCCAGCCTTCAGCTCCCCAAGTTCCCAGCCCATTCTGCTCACTTGTATTGCCTGTAGGCTCCTGAAGACATTCAAGCCCACAGCCTTGTTGTGGACAAGCCACAATTAGCGCTTTCTTGAGCCTAGACCTGTGCCGGACACCCTGCTATTATGTCACAAACGCACTGGCGTTTTACCCTGGTGACCCCAGAGCTGACAGCCACTGTCATCTCCTTCAGAGCCCAGGGCTCAAGGCGGTGAAATAACTGACCCGTGGTCACTCGGCCAGGGAGTAGCCGAGCTGGTGCTGATCAGGGTCACGGGCGTGGAGCACTGAGCTGGGCTTGAGAAACTTGGGTCTTGGTTCAGCTTCAGGTTCAACATGTCACCGTGGGCAGGGTCCCTCCCCAGTGTCGGGTCACTGGGCCAGGTCCCATCCCTGCTGGGCCCACATCTGTCCTTTCTCTTCCCTGCCCCCGTCCTGATGGGTTCCAGACTGAACATGCTGTGCTTCCTCCCAGGGACAGAGATGTTAACTAGAAAGGTTTCCTGTGTCCACCTCAAATCTGCTCTCCTGAAATACACCCCCATGGGTCCCACCATTGCCCCAAGGGGGCAGGTGGAGGAGCTGCAATCTCATATCCTGTGGCAGACTCCCCAGATTTGGAGAAAATGACAAGACACTACCCCTTTCTGCTCTAAAAGATAAACACTTGCAGGTCTTCTGAGTGTCACCTCTGAAATCTCCTGACCCATGCCTAGGACAATTAACACAC